AAAGCAGTTAAGAATCCAAGACTGGAGGTCTGGTCAGAATATATACATTTGGGAATCATTGGCACATAAGTGATAGTTGAAGCCTTGGGAGCAGGTAAGATTTTCAAAGGAGAGAATGTAGAAAAAGGTGAAGAGCCTTGGGGGATATTCACGTGTGGTACCAGAAGTTTAGATGAACCAAGAAAGGATGAGAGGTCAATCAAATAGGAGGAGAAAGAAGAGACAGCAGCATCCTAAAAAGAAGGGAGCAGAGAGTGAAAAGGTAGTGTGTAGTCAGTGGTGTCAAATGCTACAGGAAGATGAACAGACTGAGAAAAGGCCTTCAGATTTATTAACAAAGATTTTGGGAAGAGTAGATCAGTAGATTGGTAAGGGAACCACATTGCAAAGAAGAAATAGAGCCATTATGGAAATTCATCAGTGTTGAGAAGAGCTTTAGAATGATATCTAGAGGGAGTAGCAGGGTCAGGAAGATGCCTTTTTTTTTTTTTGGTTACACAATTAGGGTTAAGTGACTTGCCCAGGGTCACACAGCTATTAAGTGTCAAGTGTTTGGTCTGAGGCCAGATTTGAACTCAGGTCCTCCTGACTTCAGGGCCAGTGCTCTATCCACTGCACCACCTAGCTGCCCCCCCCCCCCGAAGAGACTTTTTTAAGGACAGGTAAACCTGAGTGTGTTTGTAAGTACAAGGAAAGGAGTCAGAGAGGGAAAGACTGAAGATGGGGGAGGTAGGGCAGGGAATGAATGATGTAATAACATCCCAGAGGATGAGAGAGAGGATGGGATCCTGGGCACAAGTGGAGGGGTTAGCCTCAACAAGAAGGTAGGCCATCTCAAGATTAGATGCAAAGATGAGAGGATCTAGGCAAATGGAAGTTTTGAGATGTGGATGAGTGCAGCTGACAGGAGTTTAGGATGGATGGCCTCCGACCTTTAAGTGCATTAGGATATCAGGTTATCTTCTAGGTGGAAGCAAAAGTTTGGGAGCAGCTTCTGTGTAACAAGGAGTCACAACCAAAAACTAATATACAAATTGTTGTGCAAAGGCTGGGGTCCAATTGAGGATCAACAGTGTGAATGTGTAGAGGTCCCAGCATGATGTCATCATACCCTCCAGGACAGCTTCGCAGCTCCAGAGTGAGAGCTGAGGAGGCAGAGTGAGTTGGGGACCCAGGGCTGGGGACAGAGAAAGGTGGGACTGGTATATACATACAGTGCCTTCTTGAAAAAGGCTTAAGGATGGGGCAGCTAGGTGGTGCAGTGGATAGAGCACTGGCACTGAAGTCAGAAGGACCTGACTTCAAATTTGGCCTCAGACCAAACATTTGACACTTACTAGCTGTGTGACCCTGGGCAAGTCACTTAACCCTAATGGCCTAAAAACAAAACAAAACAGAAAACTAAAAAAAGAAAAAGGTTTAAGGATGTTGGAGGAGGTAAGTAAAACTAGAACAGGGCTGATGGAATGAGAGAAGAGAGGGAGATGAAGGGCAAAGAAGGAGTTTCAGGCGCCTTAAGATGATGAGAGAAATAGAAGGGCTAGGGATTGGGGTCCAAGGGAATAGCTTCAGAGTGTAGGAGCCAGGGCAGTGGAATAATTTTGCCAGTGGTTTCACTGCTTTACCAGTATAAGAATTACTGACTGCCGTAGTATGTCCAACTCAGAACCTATGATTCACCTGGGTGGAGAACTCTCAGTGTGGAAACTTTCTCCACTGGTGCAGATCAGCAAATGGTCTTCAAGAGTTGCTGATGGGGTTAAATGATTCATGCTCAAGTGTTCTGATTCTGTGACCAATCCTCTGTCATCTACACTGAACTGCTTCCTACATTATGTATAGTAGGCACTTAATAAATGTGTCTTAAATTGAATTTTGTCATATTTCAGATACATATTTCCAATTATTTTGCATCAGGGCCTGATCCCTACATACAGAGCCTTACCCTAAGGAAGTATAGTTTAAAGATGTGTACAGCATTGGAATCAACATGCCTAGAAACACCTCAGACAAGTCATTTGTCCTCTCTGCCTCAATTTCCTCAACTGGAAAATGAAATTAAACTCAGACTTTAATATTCCTTATAACTATAACAAATACAAGAGTATGTAGGAAAAATGTTTGATTCTAGAAAGTATTTCAGACTCATGGTGTAGTTTCTTTTAAAAAATCAGGTAATTTAAGGCCAGGTATAGATATTTCTGAAACTAGTATTCATAGCCTCCAGCCTTGGCATTTAATTCCTCATTCACAAAATTTGGCCCATACCTTTCTCTTGGTACTTACAGAGTGAGGAATTTTAAAAATGCTTTCCAGTAAGCAATCATGAAACACATTTTAAGCTGCGTTGATCTAGAGGGAGGTAACCAGGTTGATCAGGTTCCTTGAAAGTGTCCTAAATGAGTATAAGTTGAATAAATTTAGTATTTTTTGTGTAAAGAAGACTTGGGTGGAAGAAACTTGAAATATTTGAAAGTTGGCACCTTAGAAGATAGATTAGACTTATTCGGTTTGGCCCCAGAGGGCAGAACTAAGAGAAACATATTTAGGCTAGATATAAAGAAGAACTTCCTAATAATTAGGCCAAAGGTAAAATGACCTTTTCCAGGAGATGAGTTCCCTGTCTGAGGAGGTATTCAAGTAGAGGCTGGATGACCATTTGTTGGCAGTGTTGTAGATGGGGATTCATGCTTCAGATTCTGATTGGACTGGATGACCTTTGGTGTTCCTTTCAATTCTGACATTCTATTGTGATTTTATGAAAAGTCCCAAGCCTCAAAGCTGTTATGGTATTGCCGCATGGGTCGTATTCTCAGCTGGGTCCAGAGTCTCCATCCAGGACTAATTTCCAGCTTCTTCTTGACCCCCCCCATGATGATCAAAACAGAGAAGTCATTAGTTGCTCTGTTCCACATTAGCTTCTGAAGCAGACTTTCATTTTTCTTGAAGGTCTCTTTCCCCACAAAACTTCTGAGAGGAGAGTCGATGGTGTGAAGAGTGTAACGGGAGGAACCTTGAAGGAGGAGTCATCAGAGCTGGATTGTGGTCCTAGCTCTTCCCTTAACTAGCTGTAGTATCTTGGGCAAGTAGGCCTCAGTTGCCTTATCCATAAAGTCAGGCGTTTAGACTGGACGATCTCTAAGCTTTCCGATAGCAATAAGACTCAATGTTCGGTCAAGCCTTTCTCCCTATAAGGCCTGGCAAGGAGAAGGGAAACTGAGAGCTTTTGGCAGTCATCGTCATTAAAAGCCTTTACCATTCCACAGCTATTACACTGCGTATGGCGCTGTGCTAAGAGAATTCCCTAGGCCTCTAGGAGATTGTTCCCTCTAGGAGCTTACGATCTAAGAGAGGCCCTGATGTGGACACACATCTGCTGGATGTATTGTCAGCAAAATGAAAACACTAAACATAAACAGACTAGATGTTCACCTTCTCCATGGGGGTAAGTGTGTTTGAGGGAGACCGGGGGAGGGGATGACATCAAAGAATGAGGGCATCACTAGGGTGAGATGTTGAGAAGGAGCGAACCATGATACTTCCTAATTTAGCTGGGGCAGCAGGAAGTGGGGCAGGTGTCCAAATGAAATGTGGGAGTAGGCAAAAAAGGGGGGGCTGGTAGAGAGTGTTGGCAATATCCAAGTACCTGTATAGATGTACATGTGATGTATGCCAGCAAGGAGAGCACCTTCTCTGTCTGAAAGGGAAGTTAAGCGAGGAAGTCAGATGTGCAACTGTCCTCCTGCAGGCTTACCTGGATAATTACCTGTCTTTTATATCTCTTCAGGGAGTCCTGCCAGGCAAGCCTGTAATTAACAGCAGTTAGCAGTCCAAAGGAAGAGCACATACTCTGTGATCACAGCTCCTCATAGTCTTTCTGGAGACCAGAAACAGTTTCCCTTTCAAAAGCCCTTGACTCTGTTTTCCTTTGTCAGGAAGAGTCAAGAGCAGATCTAAACATCCTTTCTCCCAATCATGGGGTCCTTAGGTCTGGTGCTGGGACTGAAAGTGGGACAGAGGTTGGGAGAAGCCTTTGGAACAGGCAGAGTTTGGAAGTGGTTAAGCATCTCAGGGAGATTGGGAAAGGACCATATTCAGGCATTGTCATAGCATGCTTATAAATTATACTTTGAAATACTAATGAGGCCAAGCAGCTCACCCTGATCCTCCATTCATGTACAGGGAAATCAGGTAAGAGTCTACCTCCTTCCCTCCATGGAATTACTTCGATGCCAGACTTAGAATCTGAGTCTCCTGGGCTCAGCCTGGGCTCCTGGCTCTGAAGCTCTTTTGTGATCCTAACATCCTTCTGGACCCTAGAATTAATTTCTTTGGTGGGATATTAGCTGCTTTAAATCACCCCTTCCCTGTTTCATAGCAGGGAAGATTGATAGTCAGGATCACAAGCCTGGTCAAAGTCAGTTTGCAGGCCTGCATCTGCTGCTGGGAATGTTAGCCATTGGCTGTTGGGACAGTAAGTGGAGGAAGCCCCGGCAGGAATACCTGAGTTCCAGTCTTGCCTCAAATACTTACTAGTGGTGTGACCCTGGGCAAGTCATTTAACTTATTTCTCAGCCTATTTCATCATGCGTAAAATGGGGAGAATGCACCTACCTCAAAGAGTTGTTTTGAGTATCAAATGAGATATTATGTGTAAAGCACTTTCCAGAATCTTTAATTGGTATATTATGATTGTTGTAATTATTATTCCCCTTTGACCCAAGGAGGGGATATATTCTGAGTCCCTCCAGTTTAAGGGACTTGGAAGCCTGGCAAGAAGTCTGGGAGAAAGGTCTGGACACGGGTCTCTGACCCTTTCTTGTGTTCCAGCAGGGATGAAGCCAGACGTTGAAAACTTTTGGAGTTTGATATTGGACTCCTTAATGTAAAGTGGAACTTAATTTGGGGACAGAAAGAGAGAGCATAAGAGGCTGAAGTCTGTGAGTCCCCATCCCCAAAATCTCTCCCCTTCCCCCACCTCTTGTGTGCCCTGTGTCTAGGTACCTAAAGGAGTTTCGCACAGAACAGTGCCCGCTCTTTGTGCAACACAAATGTACCCAGCACCGGCCCTACACCTGCTTCCACTGGCACTTTGTTAACCAGCGTCGCCGTAGGTCCATCCGCCGCCGAGATGGCACCTTCAACTATAGCCCTGACATCTACTGCACCAAGTATGATGAGACCACAGGCCTCTGCCCAGAGGGAGATGAGTAAGTGCTCTGTGCAACTTTGGCAATGGCTCTCAGAGGAGCCACATCTGAACTAGGACTTGTATTCAGATGTTCCCAAAGCCATCCAGGTAGATCCTTGGGATAGCAGGCCAGGGATCAGCATTTCCAAGGTCATGTGGCTGTTACTGCTGCTTCCTACTGGGAAGAGTACCAACAGTGCAGATTATCTCACAGGGCCCTGGGTACATGTCCTGTTGCTTTGGCTTTACAACCCTCCCTCCATGTTTAGAATTCTACCCCCACCATCTAGGCCAAGGTGGTTGGCCTGCTGGACCAGGTAAACTCAGTGGGACTTGCTGAGCAGGCTGAGAGGCACCAAGGTTATCCTGGTTTTCATTATCATCATTATCCCAGAGCATTTATTGTACTTTTGATGGTGCATGGCAGGAGGCTGGAGGCCATAGAAGAGACATATTGCCCCTGCCCTCAGGAAACTTACATTCTGAGACTGACACTAATTCAGACAGTCATGTAAAGAACAAAACAGCCGAATAGAAACCACGAACCAGTATACAGTTAGGCAGGAACTTTGCTGTGCTCCCTTTCTATCTTTTGATTTCTGATTCTTTTGCAAAACTTGGGAAGCAAGGCAACATTACCACCAAGCAAGGGGGTGGAAAAGTAACAAGTTGATTTTTAAGAAAGAGCCCTGGGCTGAGGAGACACTAAGTATTAGTCTGATTTTTACACTGAGTAGTATTCTAATTCTGTTGTGGAATCATAGGACAAAAAAGACTTAATCTCTCTAGGTCAGTGGCACACCTTGTCAGTTTAAGAAAAGGAGTCTGGTAGAATAGAACAGAGTCTGGTAAAAGCAGGTGACATGTTCTCTTTGGTTTTCAGGTGCCCGTTCCTGCACAGAACCACAGGGGACACCGAGCGACGGTACCATCTACGCTACTACAAAACTGGAATCTGCATCCATGAGACTGATTCTAAAGGAAATTGCACCAAAAACGGCCTGCATTGCGCCTTTGCTCACGGGCCCCATGACCTCCGCTCTCCTGTCTATGACATCAGGTGGGGCAGGCACAAGGCCGAGCTGAATTGGGCAAGCAGAGGTGGGCAGGGAGGGGGGCTCTGCAGAATGAGCTGGGTGCCTTCCTGCAGTGGAGGGCAAGTGAAGGGAGAGTTAGGAGGAAGAGGGTAGACTTTGTCATCATCTAGTATCCCTCTGTGGTGACCATGTTCTCATCTGTCTTTGCAACATCTCATGCTCAACACACCTCCCATTCTGTCTCCTCTCTGTTCTCTTCCAAGGGAGCTCCAGGCAATGGAGGCCTTACAGAATGGTCAAGCTGCATCTGAGGGGAGTATCGAGGGTCAGTCGGCTGTGGCTGCAAGCCACGCCATGATAGAGAAAATCCTCAGTGAGGAGCCACGGTGGCAAGGTAAGAGCCAGAAGAGCCAAGGCATGGCTGTGTCTCTCTGTGGCCCTCTCTCCTGGTTTTGAACTTTTCCCCAGTGCATGACCTGTCCATGGCCACGTCTGTGTCTTCACACAGGCCATTTCCCCGTTCCGGAATGTTTCCCATCTCCTCACCCTCTCTGTCAGAGCACACCCCTTCCCATTGTTAAAAATATTTGGAATAACCTCGAGGGACCCTGGCTGTCATCATTCTGATGACTTCCCAGATTGCCCAGTGTGTGGATGGGCGTTCAGACAAACACACATCTGGCTCTGTCCAGCTTCCATAAGTTACAGTTTTTTACATGTTTCTCTTATGTTTCCTTGTGTCTTGTCTCCTTCTTTAAGCACTAAACTCCTCTCAAAGGCAGTTGCTCCACCAGGGTGACATGATTTCAGAGGACAGTGAAACATTTGTCCAGTGGCCTGCACTTCTCACATTAGTCCCAGGGAGTAGGAACTGCAGTGCCTGAGCCCTTGAATGCTGCTCAGTAGGCCAGTCTCCCAGAGATCTGCTAGGTCACCTCTGGGGAAGCTGTCCCATCCTTTTCACTGTAGCTACTAGTGTGAGACTCTTGACCTAGTCCCCATGGTTGACTGAGCCCCGCCCTCTGTTCCTTTGCAGACACAACCTATGTCTTAGGGAATTACAAGACTGAGCAGTGCAAGAAGCCTCCTCGGCTCTGTCGCCAGGGATACGCCTGCCCGTACTACCATAACAGCAAAGACAGACGGCGGAGCCCCAGGAAACATAAATACAGGTCTCACCATCTAGGGAGAAACCCTGCAAGGGTTGGCTAAGCCAAGCTGCCAAGACTTCAGCTGTGTCCTCTGTGTGAGGGTGGGGGCCTTGGGGAACGCCAAGCCAAGGGCAGACCATCAGGCACCTGGTGCAGGGGGAGTGAGGATTGAGAAAGGCTGCCAATGACAGGGAGGCTTCACTGGGGAGGAAATTTCAGTGTCCAGAGCCAGGCAGACCACATGCTAGCTCTCCCTGTGAGGTCAAGGTTGGGGTTGGGATACAGAAGGCAGGATGTTACTGGGTAGAGTGGTGGTAGGGTAGGGGGTCTTTTCTGTAGAACACAGACTACCCTGAGGGAAGTGGCCCAACTGCAGGAGAAAGAAGTGGAAGGATCATCTCTATCTGTACTATGTGGGAACTGCTAAGCCCCAGGACCTCCATCATCCTCCTTTACTGTCTCTTCTAAGCTGCTCTGCTTTCCTAGGCCCAGGGTGCAATCAGCCTAGAGAATATTTCCTATCTCTTTGCATTTAATACTGCCTTTCTTAGTGTTATTGTTACCATGAACACCCAAAATGAATGGTTCTATTTTTTTATTTTCAAAAGCTTATTTTCTTATTGTCTGATTTTTAAGCCCAGTATAAGGGAAAACCCCAGATGGGAAGGAATCAGTTGTAGCAACTTTTTCTGGTCTCCTTTGTCTGGAATTTTTACCTTTATATCAACTCTAGCCTCCCTTCTTTCAGATTTCCTCATAGTTATCCTGACCTAAGTGTGGACAGAATCTCTTTTCCTTTTGGTTTAACCAAGCCAAGGTTGGGGTTTTTTTTTTTTAAAGGAACTGAATAATACAGCAAATGTGACTGGTTAACACAGTAAATATAGTGTGGCCACAGACTGTCTTGGCTGGCACAGTTAACAGAACTGTTCCTGTTCCTATTCCTCCCATCCTCCAGAACTGAGGAACCCAGATTGAGGAAGATAATTCTCTATTTGGCCCCTGAGATTCAGTCTCTGAACTTCAGGCCAACTTGCACTGAACATGAAGTCACTGTCCTGGAAGTCCTATCTCACGTCTAGCCCATTTCCCTCTGTCTGGGCCAGTTCATTCCAAAGATATTTATTCACTGGCCAGCTGTAATAATCTGGCCTGAAGCTCAGCATCTTGCCCTAGCTCCTCTCCTAGCAGAATGGCTTCCTTGGGTGGCACTGTCATTCCTGAAACCTATTCATATGACTTGTTTCAATGCTTCAGCCCTCTGGGTCACCCATCTCCCTCCAGTTCCTCTAATTCCTCAATCCTTTGTACAACTGAGGACACTCCCACACTCTGAACCCCATTGTTGGACCCATCTTTTCCCCACTTAGGTAACTAACTACTTCTTTCCCCAGCTTTTCTCTGCTAACTTGCTCACTAGCTTCCCAGGAAAGTGGTTTTCCAAAAAGCCTTTTATAATTTTTTCAATATATGAAATTTCTTAAGCATGTGATAAGAATAATAGACATTTTCCACCAACAATAAGAGCAAAAAGGTAGTTCTCACCCTCACACAGTTATTTTCTGTGGACCTGTGGGCCACTGTTCCTTTGCATGACTCCTTTTAAAGGTAGGGCAAAGGGGGCCAAATTGTGGGTAAGTTTCCTAAGCATCACACTCTTTCCTGTTACCACTGCTTACGTGAGCACATGTGCACGTGCTCATGTGCATACACACGCAGACACACACACGCAGACACACACACACAGACACACACACACCCACCCACCCCAAAGAGAGGCTCATTGTCCCCTCTGTCTCCTTCTCGTTGGTCCAGGTCCTCCCCTTGCCCAAGTGTGAAACACGGGGATGAATGGGGTGACCCTGGCAAATGTGAAAATGGAGATGCCTGCCAGTACTGTCATACTCGAACGGAGCAACAGTTCCACCCGGAGGTACGAGGGCAGCATATCTCCCTCCCTTTCTCCCTCCTAAGACCTTCCTCGCTGGTTTTAGGGAGGGTTCTGTGCGATCTCAAGGTCAGGATACTTTGGCAGGGAGGAATGTGCTGGTTTTGGATATCATAAAATGTCTCTCCTGGGCTATAATTTTCTCCCAAAGTTAAAGGCACCAAACTCCTGGTTTTCATCATCATCATTATAGTATCCAAAACCTTTATTGAGCTTTTAGTGGTGCTGGATACCATACAAAAAGACAAATCCTGCTCCTGCCCTCAAGGAACTTATATTCTAAGACTGACACACTGACCCAATTAGGTAGGTAACTAAAGGACCTTTAGAGAGTGAAATATAAATTATGAACCATCATAAGTTAGGCAGTGAAAGATTACACATCTCAAAGGGAAGGGTATTTGGATGGAAGTACATTATTAGGGTTAAAGACTGGAGAGAAGTTTATGTGATTTTATCTCAGGCTTGAATTATCCAGAAGGACTATCTGTACTGATCAAATGACTGGCTAAATTCATTTCAACCATTCACTTGACTTGTGTGAACAAAGTGGTTCTCCTTCTGTATGAGATGTATAGAAGTGGGCTAGATGGTTTCCACTAAGGTGGATACTGAATTCGTTGAGCTCCAGGCCCCAACAATCTGTGTTGAATGGATGGGATGGATATCTTCCTAGGAAGAGCTATGGAAGGTCACAGTGCTCCTTCCTGGGCTCCATTCTATTCAATATTCTTACAGGAGGTCTCACCAAAGACCTAGATATGAAGTTTGCCTTTCAGAAAAGCTGAGAAAGGATAGTAGTTAATGCTTTGGGTGACAGAATTGGGATTTTTAAGAAGAATTTGACTTGCTGAAATCATGGGTTAAATTTGATTAGATGCAATTTAATAGGGATAAATGTAAAGCCCTAACTGGAGCTCAGATTTGGGGAAGGCCTGGCCAGACAGGCCTTCAGGGTTCATGTGAAAAAGGCCTTCAGGATTCACTATGTCACAAGCTTTGTGTGAGCACCATCATGGTAGCCAGAAAAGTGATTGCAGTGTTAGGCTTCGTGTATGAAAGAGTCGTGTCCAGCTCAGAGTTATGGTTCCTATAGTCTGACATATCTGGAATGTTGTTTTCACTCTGAAGTACCACCTCATACCTGTCATATTGGCTAATGACAGATAAGAAAAATGAGAAATGTTGGAGGGGGTGTGAGAAAACTGGGACACTAATGCATTGTTGGTGGAGTTGTGAGCTGATCACCAGGCATTCTGGAGAACAATTTGGAATTGTGCTTTAAGGGCTATAAAACCATGCATACCCTTTGATCTAGCAATACCGCTACTAGATCTGTATCCCAAAGAGATCCAAAACGAGGGAAAATGGGATGTTGTTTTCAGTCTTGGGTGCCATGTTTTAGGAAGGACATTGACGAGTAAGTTGTCTAGAGAAAGCGATCATGTTGTTGAAGAGATTTAGAAACCACCATTATGGGATCTGGGAATCTTGTAATGTGATTAAAGGAATGGGGTGGGGGTGTGTGGGGGGGCTACATTTAGCATGGAGAAGGAAGGAGGGGAGCATGGTAAACTACCTTCAGATATTTAGAGGGATAGGGAAAATATTTATTTTACTTGTATCCAGAGGGCAGAACTAAGAACGCTAGATGGAAGTTTCCGTGGGACAGACTGAGACCTGATATAAGGGAGCATCCTAGTAATCAGAGCTGTCTGTAAAAGCGCAGTGGCCTGCTCTCTGGGCTGGAGAGGTTCCTGTGACAAAAGCTCCATGGGCTCCATGACCCCTCGTCATGAGTGCTGCAGGTCCTGGTTGGGCTCCATTACCTCTGAGGTCCTTTCTAACTATGAAATTTGACGATTCTGCTCCCCACCTTAGAGGGGTTGTTCCATCAGAATGACTGAGCCAGGGCCAGACTTTGAGAATAGTCAAGTTAGCAGCTACTCTGTCGATGTATCCAGAAGAGGAGGCAAGGAATCAGTCTTTTGGACCGACGCTTACTGAGGGGACCCACTCCCACACCCCAGGCATGGTTCCTAAGCTGTGTTTGTAAGAAGTGGAGTAGACGTGATAGAAGAGGCCTTTAGGAGGCGCAGAAGAGATTGGGAGGATAAGGATAGGAATAGAGAAACATAGTGATGCCCAAGCTTCGTCAGGCAAGGCTTGCACAGAGGGATGACTCCTGGCCTGATTCCTTTCTCTGGGAGACCAGTGGGCAGAATGTGAAGCCCATCTCCTTTATCCTGCCCCTGCCCAACCTTTGCCTTCTCCCCCTCTCTCCCTCTCTCCCTCTCTCCCTCTCTCCTCTCCCCTCTCCCTCCCTCCTTCTCTCCCTCCCTCACTCCAGAGCCCTAACCCTGCTTCCATTTTGCCTTCTCTAGATCTACAAGTCCACCAAGTGTAACGACATGCAGCAATCGGGCAGCTGTCCCCGAGGTCCTTTCTGCGCCTTTGCCCATGTTGAACGTATGCTATGCCAATTGTTTCTTGAGACTTGCCCCTCTCTCCCTATTCCCATCCCCTTTAACTGCGAACACTGCAGCTGGGGAGAATGGTCCCAGCAGCACCTCATGTGCTGCATACACCCTGGTTTGGTTTGGCTTGGCTTAGGGCCGTTGAGATCTCCTGGGCTTTTCCAGGCTCAGTCTTAGCTAACCCAAGCTGGATTGCAGTCATGTAAACCCAGCAGGACAAAGAACCAGAACCATGTCTTCCCTGACCTGTTAGCCAGTGGTGGTTAGGGTGGTATCTTCTCTCCCCAAAGAAGGTTTCATATCCTGACAATGCAAAGCCACTGAGCAGTGCATCCTGGGGCTTAGGCTGCTGCTTCCACCGCCACTGGAGAAGTTTAAGCAATTGGAGGCTTCTCCCAGCATCCAGGCTGCCTTCCCCGTTGGAGCCAAGAGCATGGCACAGGATACCTCTATAAATGAGGGAGGGAAAATTTCATGACATAGAGACCCCTCCAGGTGTAGGTGTTAGGAATGGGTAAAAATGTAGCCTCCTGGTCACATATTGAAATAGATGAATCGAGGGCTGGATTGGAGATTCTGTCATCCTTGGGGAGATCCCATCCTACTGTGGAGAGCCTCTGGGTGGGTAGGGAGGTCTGGGTAATACCTCTGTCTCTCACATCTCTTGCAGAGCCCCCGCTTGGCGATGATTTTCAGTCTTCTTCAGCTGTGCCCAGTCCCACACAGGCTGGCACTGTGATGTACATGCCATCAGCAGCAGGGGACTCGGTGCCTGTGAGCCCCTCCAGCCCTCATGCCCCAGACCTTAGTAATGTATGTGCTGTGGCCTTGAACAGACTGAAGAGTGGGGGGAATGGGATCAGGGAGATTAGAAGGGATACTAGTACCCAGTAGCACTTGAAAAATGGAACTAGAATTTTACCTTCCCTAAAGGGACCTCAGGGGAGGGAGGAGGAGATGGAGAAGGCTTTGATACACACTTAAACAGATGATATCAGCAGTCCCCCCTAACCCCAAATCATTGTGTTTTTGTTTTGATGAGACAGCTCATTCCATTGTACCTGAATCTTGACATGCAGCCTTTCTGGTAAAGCCAACCAATCTTCACCAATAGCCTCCCCTCCCACTCACCCCTTAGTAAACAGAGTTGGAACCTTCAGGATCAGGGCAGGAAGAGGAAATGGCCATCCTAGATAGATGGAAGGTCTGTGATGCGGAAACCTGGAGAGGGGGCAGGCTGTACCCAGCCAGTGGGCAAGAGCTCTGAGCAAAGGAAGAACCCACCCTTCCGGCCTAGAAGACCCATATGGCTCCCTTCAGCTAAGCAGGGACCCCTCGCTCTAGACTTATGGTCATGTCCATATGACCTGTTCCCTTACCCTTCTCCTCTTTTTCCTATAGATACTTTGTAGGAACAGCAGTCTGGGTAGCCCATCTAACCTCTGTGGCTCTCCCCCGGGCACTATCCGAAAGCCACAGAACCTAGAAGGTATCAGCTTCCCTGGGGAGGCGAGCCCAGCACCCAGTAGCTACAAGAAGGCCCCCGGCTTTGAGAGGGAGGACCAAGTTGGAGCTGAATATCTAAAGAGCTTCAAATGCCAGGTAAGGACTGCTGGGACAGAAGGACCATGCCTGATAATTGCTGAGAGAATTGCTGTCTCTTGTGCAGAGGAAAATGGCTGGGAACCTGTGCTGTTGGTTAAAACTGAGTGTGTATTCTCCAGATTTGTCTAACCAGCATATATTCCATAACCATTTAAGCCCTTGTGTATACTGTGTCCTATGCTGCGCACAAGCACAAATATGTGGATAAGGTAGGATCTCTTCCCTCAAGGAGTTCAGGGTCTCATAGGGGAAGATAAGAGGCACATAGATAAACTGAAAAATAGAATCAGGCATGTATGAGATCAGATGAGGGGGAAAGCAGTTCCAGTTGGAGGAGGTAGGAGAAGTTGCAAGGAGGAATTGGCACTTGAGTTGGGTCTTGAAGAATGGGTAGGATGTGAGCAGGCATATATATTTGGGGGTGGATGGAGGGATTAGGGAGAGGAGGGGTAGGGTGTCTTCCAAATATAGGAAAAATAATGAGCAAAAAAAGCCAAGCATAGAGACGGGAAAGTTTGGGAAATTGGGGATCTAGGAGGAGGAGTCTAGATTGTTTGAAAGGCAGTAGTGTCAGCTTAGGCTGGTAAGATAGATTGGAACCAGATTTTGAAGGGCCTTCAATGTCAGGATATGGCATTTGGTGTTTATTTGATAGGCAATGAGGAGCAATTGAGGGTTTTTGAGAAGTAACACGACACAATTAAAACCTATGAGCCAAGAATATGAATCTGGCGCTGTTAGTAAGAGACCGAAAAGCAAGAAGGCCTGCTAGGAAGCTACTGGAACTGATGGAACCGAACTAATATGGCAGCTTCAGTGCTGGAACAGAGACCTTACCCTTTAACCTTATTAGCAGGTCAGCCTTGATCAGGCTCCTTCTGGGTATATACCCTCTGTGTAATATATATTATAAGGGTATACCCTGGCTATACCCTTATTAAATGACTTCTTTGTTAGTCAGGAGTAGATGAGTTTAGGTAATACAAAGTCCCTGCCCTCATGAAGTCCATTTTTCTTAATAATCTATGATAGTGCATTAGATAGATAAGTACATTAGAGAGTTACAAAACCTGGGCCTGAATAACAGCTAAACAGCTGTCTGAGCTTAGAGAGAATCCTATCTTATTCCCTCTTTCAAAGATGACTAAAACCTGAGAGGAGAGGGAAATGCTAATGTTACAGTCCCTAATTTTTGGCCATTTGGAACATTTATATTGTTCATAAAACACTTTCATAGCCATGATCTCATTTGATTCTCAAAACCTGTGAGTTCAGTAGGGCAGATATTATTATCATTTAATCTTTGAACACTAGAAAAATCCATCAAATTTACATTTATTATCAGCAGAACAAACAAACAAAGACCACATTTAGACAACATAATTTCAGTTACTCCTTCCTGTGTCCACTTTCGTTGTATTATCCTCATTTTAGACTCAGGGGACCTGAGACACCTAGAGGTAAGTGGTTTTCCCATGATCACTCAGCTAATAAATGGTAGGTCAGTAGAGATTAGAAAGGGTTCTGTGTGTGTGTCAGGGTTCAGGGGATGAACGCTTGTCTGTTGACTGGGCTCATTGTCTTTGCCATTGCTTTTCTCCTTCTAATAGGCCAAAATAAAGCCCCATTCTCTGGAACCTAGGAGCCAGGAGCAGCCTCTGATACAGCCCAAACAGGTAACACTTGCCTTCCGGCCCAAGCGTACTTCCCAACAGATGGACGATAGGGAATGAAAAATGAGGAAGCTGGGTCAAGGACAGGTGTAGGTTATGTTGTGTGACCCAAAAACCCAAGGTTAGATGGAAGAATGGAAAGGAGAGGTCATACCCCTCACCCTCATTTTGTTCTTGCCCCATTGGCGACTGGGATTATCTAAGGGGCCAAGGAATTAGCAGCCTCCAAACGGATGCTCAGTAAATCTTGAGGAGGCAGGAGCCTATCTAAGGCCTTGGAGGGCAATGGGATTCCCTTTCCTTTAGCTCCTGATTGTACAGCGGTGTGCACCTTCCACCTTCAGACTTGTCTTCAATCCCTTGCTCTCTCCTTGCAGGACATACTGGGCATCCTCCCGGTGGGCAGCCCCCTGACCTCCAGCATCTCTTCTAGTATCACTTCCAGCTTGGCAGCCACACCCCCCAGTCCTGCAGGCCCCAGCGGTGTCCCTGGCATGAATGCAAACGCCCTGCCCTTCTACCCTACTAGTGACACAGTGGAATCGGTCATAGGTAATGGCTTCTTTTCTAGGACCATGGCTCGGGTGGAGGTGGGGGCCGGATTAGATGACATCTAGGCTTCTGAGAAGAGATGCGTGCACAGCTTAGTTCTTAACTCCCTACCCTGGACCAAGACAGAGACCTGGCCGTGGCATTGGCACAGACAAACATGCTACCTGTCCTCTAGCATTATTATCATCTTTATTATTGGTAGTAGTCCAGATCTGGGATTTCATCACTGTGGGAACCTCCTAGTATGGAAACTCTCACCTGTGATAGAGATCGACAACTCATCTGTAATTTATGGCCTTGAGATATTAAGTGACTTGCCCATTGTCATGTTCCAGGTAGGGCCAGAGGGAGCACTTGAGTCCGGGCCTTCATGACCTCAAGGCTGGCTTTCCTCCCTTTATCACAGGCTGCCTCCAAAAAAACTATTATTGACATTGATATTTCACATTTCTGTAGTGCTTCTGAGAGTTATATAGCACTTTCCTCAAAGTGATTCAACGTAGCAGGCAGTACAGCTGTCACCCCCAGTGTGTAGGCAGCTTTTCCTAAGAGACCCTCAAGGCTGAGCTCTTTTTATTTCCTTGGCTCGGCCCTCTAGGAGCTAAAAGGGAAACACGATAAGAGGGTACAGATCAGGCAGCAAGGAACCCCAGTATCCTAGCTCAGTGGGTGCTCGGAGCGCCCAGGACCAGAGGTAGCAGGGCCAAGGATGGCTGACCCCAGAAGATGGCAGGAGGACAACATGCAATCTGAGTCACTCTGTCCAACAGAGTCTGCCCTTGATGACTTGGACCTGAATGAGTTTGGAGTAGCTGCCCTGGAAAAGTCATTCGACAGCAGCACAGTGCCTCACCCAGGTGGCATCATGATTGGTACTTGGGGAATAAACATCTTTACAAGGGGCAAGGAGAGTGCTGGTACCAGGCCACTGAGCATGTGCTGACCACCAAAGAGCAGGGCTGAGCTCTGGGGTAGGCCAGACCTCCCCACAGGGCATTAGGGCACATGCCCATGAGCCCAGGAGGACATGCATAGCGTGTGCCCTCTCAATCAGGCACAAAGTAGCAGTGACCTGAGTCTGGCATTCTTCCTGAATGTCCCATTTTTAGGAATGTGTCCAAGCCTGCTCTAGGGAGGTTTGTCCCATCTCACCTTAAGCTGCCTTCTAGCTCTTAATTTCATCTTTCAGTGAATTTTGCTGGGCCCTGATCTTTCCTCTCAGAACTGGGGGAGGGAGGACAGCATCTCTCCATAGGCCCTTCTTTCTCAGGCTCTCCTTCCATGGCCCTCTGCCTAGAAGGAGTGCCTTAACACACTGAGACCTTCCTGTGGGTGGGCATTGTATCTCCTCCTAGAAGCTGTCTAGCTTCGAGCAGGCCCAGGGTGGGATGAGGTGGTTCCTTGCCTTTCCTCATTGTTGCCCTCCTCCCTCCCCTTTCCTTGGCCTCTCTTACAGGTGGCAGTTTGTTACAGAGCTCTGCCCCTGTGAACATCCCTGGCTCCCTAGGCAGCTCGGCTTCCTTTCATTCTGCCTCCCCCTCCCCTCCTGTCAGCCTTTCTTCACACTTCCTCCAGCAGCCCCAGGGCCATCTGAGCCAGTCAGAGAACACTTTCCTGGGGACATCAGCATCACATGGATCATTAGGTAAGAGGGGCCAAGGAACGGCTCTAAGATGCGTCTTGCAGGAAGCCTATAATAAACGCTAGCATTTTCTGCTTAGTATTGTACAGAATAAGTCATACTAGCATGGGTCCCGTCCTCTGCAGGTTTTTAGGTTAAGACAAGCCCTGTGGTGAATAATCAACACTGCAAGAGGACAGAATGAGAGAAGGCAGGCTATTTGCACTGTTTTCTGGCTCACTGAAAGACCATGTCTTTTACCTGGGCAGTAGTCTACCTAAGGGTAGAAAGTTTCATTGCCAGGTTGATGAATTTTTTTCATTCATGGCAGTTCTGGAAGACTATCTAATAAATTATAGAGGGGTTCACTGGTGGGAGGACTACCCACACTGATGAAACTAAAATCCATGAACTAAGTTCTGGCCCAAACATCTATATGCAGATGGGCATGCCTACTTGTCCTTCCACTCAAAATGGGAAATATTCAGGGTCATTCCCAACCAGCTAACAGACCATCATACGCCACTGTTAGCCAGGAAGAGCCCAAAATTGACGAACACTAGAGAGGCACTAGAGATACACAAAGAATGTGTGCCCTCAGGGTGCTGGAGTCCAGATGGAAAGACACACTTAGAAGGATAACTAATGACCCAAGACAGCCTGTGCCCAAGGCCCTAGGAGCCACCTGGACAAAAGAAGGGCCCTAAATGGAGAACGAATTTGCAGAATAATCCTGATGGTTTGGCCTTTCCCTACATGGGTTCTCTGTGCTTGAGCAGAGCCTACTGGCTCATCTGCAGTCAGATATAGACCTGACAAGCACACAGATGTGTCATTAGAGGGAAATTGCTAGAATTTAGGGTTTGAACAGAGTGGGCTGGGGAGGAAGGTTGGTGATATTGAAAATGTGCTAAATTACTTACTGGTCTTGCAGTAGTACAGTTATTAAGTTCTCCCTTAAGGGGAAACAGATAAAAACAAAACAAAACGAAATCCAGTCCTTTCCCTCATGGAGCTTGTATCCTAGTAAATGCCTTCTGCTCAATAACAGCCCCTGTAGTGGGTGTCCAATATCTCCTGCAGGAGTGCGGAGTCATTCTGTGTACCATGTGGAGGGACTGACCTCTTACATGGGGGATTTTAGTGGCCCCATGAAACTGGAAGCTCCATGAGGCTGGGGATTGTGGCTACCTAAGCAGACAGAGCACTCCCAAAGAGTGAGAATCATATTTCCCTCGTCCATCTGAGAACCAGCTGTCCAAGGAATCCCATCATCCTGTCCTCCCCCTGCCCCCTTTACTGGAAGTACCTGGAAGGCCAGGGGGTTCTTGGCTTCCGTAGCAGATTTAGATAATCTTCCCAAGAGTAGGAATTCCTGTTACAGTGGAGTGGGCACCACCTGTAAGTCTGTGAGGCCCTTGAGGACAGGGCCTGTGTGTCTCTTCCATCTGAATCCAACCAGGGTGCAGTATAAGACTGCATGAAGGGGTTGTTCAGTCAGTGCTCTTGACTGATGGTTAGACCTGCAGATTAGACCTCACACCAGGAAGCTCAGTAGTGCCCCTAGAGCCCTCACGGTTAGGCTGGTGTGAGAGAGCTGCCCTCGAGACACCCTCTCACCCTAAAGCAGGTTTAAATGGAATGAACAGCAGTATCTGGGAGCACTTTGCCTCTGGGAACTTCTCCCCAGGCACGTCGCCAGCGTTTCTGTCGGGCCCAGGGGCTGCTGAGCTGGCCAGGCTCCGACAAGAGCTGGATGAGGCCAATGGGACCATCAAGCAGTGGGAGGAGTCATGGAAGCAGGCCAAACAGGTATGGGGATACAGCAGAGGCCCAGGAGATCCAGGGCCACCTCCCCCCACTTCTGTCCCACGGGTCTCCGGGTCATGGACATTGAACCTCTTTCTTGTTCTCATGGTGCAAGGATTTGGACTCCATCTCTAAAGCCCCTTCTAGGTCTGATTACGGCTCCAAGCCCTCTTTATACAAACTTTTGAGTACCCTCAGGGGCTAGGGCTCTTTTCATATGCCACCCAGAGTTGCCAGCTGGATGGGAGTTGAGTTTCTGTCAGAGTAGCTTCCATAGGCGGCATGAGCGACTTCTTCCTCTTAATCAGACAAGGGTGGGAAATGGGAAGTACGGCCTCCAGCCAAATAATTGACAACCCAAGTGTGCAATGGGAAGAGGCGAGAGGGAAGGCTGTCCATTTTGGTTGTGGCGATGCACAACAGGGCGGGCTCTGTGCTGAACCCCACAGGCTTGTGATGCTTGGAAGAAAGAGGCCGAGGAGGCCAGTGAGCGGGCTAGTGCTGCTGGCATGGAGTGTGAGCTGGCCCGGGAGCAGCGGGATGCCCTGGAGGTGCAGGTGAAGAAACTTCAAGAAGAGCTGGAGCGATTGCACTCTGGGCAGGACCCCCAGACCCTGTGCTCGTTCTCCGACCTCGAGGCCCTCTCACTCTCCACCTTGTACTCCCTGCAGAAGCAGCTCAGGGCCAACCTGGAGAGAGTGGAAAAGGTAAGGGAGCCCCTGGGGCCGGAGAGTCAGGCGTGGCCTGAGACAGAGGATGGGGGAGGGGCAGATAGTGGCAAGGTTTCCTTGGGACCTCAGAGGAACTTTCATGGCTGACACCTCCCTCGGGCTGAAGCCACGGGCCTTGGAAACCCTGCCTGGCAGCCTGGGAGTAGTGCACCTGTCTGGCTTGGGCAGGGTGTCTCTTGCTTTGTCAGATGGCCTCTGTCTGCCCAGCAGGCTACCAAGGGCTTGCAATACTATACCACTGAGTGGAGCATCAAGTCCAGAAGAATTTTGGTGATCATTTGTGGGTACAGTCAAGGAAGGGCAGAGCAGGACAGAGTAATAAATGACTCATATTTACATAAGACTTTAAGATTTATAAAGTGCTCTTCTCACAGCAACCCTGTGTAAGCATTATTATCCTCATTTTACAGATGGGGAAACTGAGGCAAAGAGAAGTCATCCCATGCCTAAGGTCACACAGCTTGTAAATGTCATAGCCAGGATTTGAACCTGTGTCTCTTGATTCCACGTCTAGAGCTTATTCACACTACCTTTCTACTAATAGCTGGCATTTAGATAGCCCTTTTAGGATTGTCAAAGCTGATATATATTCTGTGTCTTTTCACAACTGTGTGATTCATGATAGCTGGCTGCCTCTGTCCCCCCTTATTCCAGCCTGTTTCACCCCAGAAAAGTCTGTGTTTCTTCCCCTATAGACTTAGAATGAAGAGCCAGTTCTGGGAGAAAACCCACCCTCACCTCATCCCTGGGATTCCATGCCCAGAAAACAGAACAGATCCTATCAGTGTCCAAGAGCTTTTATACCTACCTGACCTCAGCGCTGCCCAGGGTCCTCCCCGGGGCTCAGGATCCCTAAGGCACCTAATAACCTAGGGCTCAGGCTTGCTCTCCACCTGTCCCAGCCTGGGTCCTCACAGGAGGGCCTGGCCAACCTCAAATCAGCCCTCCTCCATGTGAGTAACTAAGCTGGATCCTTCACCACAGAGAAGTTCAGCGTTCTTGGGACATCCTGGTAAAAAGAGGGGGGCAAAGACAAGTCACCCAAAGCCAAGACCAAGGGCTTCGAAGACCCATCTTGCCTGTGCCTCTGAAAATCCCCATGAGAGTCAGAGTATTGGGCAGCATGCTGGGGGTGGTGAGCAGGGGTGAGGGCTTCTTCCCTCCTCATTCATTCATTCATTCATTCTGCATGCATTCATTGGTGTGTATTCAGCACTGTGCTAGACCTGGGAATGTAAAGGGAAGCAGCCCTGCCCTCTAGGAATTTGCCTTCCATCGGAGGAAAAGAAAGCACAAACACTTTTGCCTTCATCTGGAACAAACTGTTCTCTGGGAAAGGACCATCCTAATCTAAGCTATGGCTCCTGAACCTCATTTTTTTTTCTTGGAGGGAGGGCTAGCCTCCTTATGGTTTAGCGGATAGAGTGCTAGACCTCGAGTTGACAGTGCTGCGATTGAATCTTGCCTCTAAGGGTAACTAGGTGGCACAGTGGGTGGAGCACTGGCCCTGAAGTCAGGAGGACCTGAGTTCAAATCTGGCCTCAGATCAAACTCTTGACACTTACTAGCTGTGTGACCCTGGGCAAGTCACTTAACCCCAATTGCCTAAAGAAAAAAAAAATAAAAATTTGAAGGCAGCTAGGTGGCGCAGTGGATAGATCACTGGCCCTGGACTCAGGAGGACCTGAGTTCAAATCCAGCCTCAGACACATAACAATTACCAGCTGTGTGACTCTGGGCAAGTCACTTAACCCCAACTGCCTCACAAAAAAAAAAAAAGAATCTTGCCTCTAATACTTATTAGCCAGGGGACCATGGGCACCTGTAGGACCCTCAAAGGATTGTCTTAAGACTAAAATGAAACAATGTTAACAAAGCACTTTGTAAATCCTAAAGTGCTCTGTGATCAAAGCCCATTATTAATATTGGAAAAGGTACTCCTTGGGGAGATGATGAAGAGCAGGCCACCTTTCCCTTGGTCCTTTGTGAACACTGGCTCTTCTTTGCCCTCAGGTGGTATTCCAGATGCAGTCACCTGCAAAGTGTCTCAAGTGTCAAGAGCAGCATCGGGTGGTGCTACAGTGCCAACACACCGTGCTGTGTGAGCTGTGTGCAGAGGACAGCGAGTGCCCCGTCTGCCACCCGAGCTGTGCCCGCCCTCCCCTCCAGTCATGACCCCCCAGGCCAGATTACAGCACATAGAACTTTTTAAAGTACATATATATATATATATATATATATATATATATATATTATATATATATATATATATATATACACATATATATATATACATATATACATATATATATATACACATATATATATATATATATACACATATATATATATACATATATATATGCGTGTGTGTGTGTACATACACACACAGGCACACACAGACACACACACACGTGTGTGTGTGTATCTGTGTGTGTGTGCGAGGACAGGTATGAAGGGTGTCTGTGTGTATATCTGTATGTAGATATAGACACACACTTAAAACAGAGCTGAGTTACCAAGCACTTTTAAAAAATATTTTGCAGCGCGATCCTCGCCCACCCCCCTCTTCCCTGCTTCAGAAACAAGTTTGTCCCACCACCCCACCCCCAATCCCTTGTGGCAGAGTCTCTTCATGTCTCTTTTTTAAATTTAGGAAATAACTTTTTAAAAATCTTTATTGGGACAAAAAACAGATGGGAAAATTCAGGGGGGCTTTTACTTGGAGGGATGAGGTGTAGGCCCCTGGGGAAGCAGAGACCCAGAAGAAGTGGGTCTGTCTTAAGGCCCCCTGCCCCTAACCTGAGGGACCATAGATACCAGTCCTGGTGCCATCACCTTTTAAAATTAGAAAACCCTTGGAATCCTGAGGAGATTCTGAGTTGGGGGGGGGGTGAGGTGGTGGTGGCTGAGAAAACTTCATGAAAGTATATCGTATTTTTTAAAAAGCAAATTTGCATTCTAATCAGCTGAAGAGCTGGCTGGCCCTGAGCAGTGGAGAGCCCACCTACAAACCCTGGGTGGGTTGCCCAGAACTTAGAGGTTTCTCACTATTCCCTTGTGCTGGCAGAAGATTAAAAAGCTTTTGCTTCTTACTAAATGTTAGAAATTAAGAGGGTGTCAGGGGAGAGAAAGCCTGCTGCTCTAAATGGTTCCTTCCCTATGTACTATGGAAGGATTAGGGGTGGAGAATGTAGCAGAATTAGGGTCAGTGGTGCTGTCTTTTGTAATCTTCCCCTCCTTACTAGCACCCTTCTCAGGGCCCCTCCCAGCCCAGGGCCCTCCATTCTCACAAGTTCTAATCCATGTACAGGCCACCAGGAATGTAGTAACCAGGACTTGGGGACCCCTGTACTAACATGGCATCCCAAAAATAGAGGCCCCCCTCCAGAAACCCACATTGACAATTGTCCAGTGGGCACAGGTATAGGAGTGCATGTGTGAGAGCCTACACTCACACTTCTGTGTGAATTTGTGGGCCTGTGTGTATATGGTGTGGGCAGGGCATTAACAAACTGGCTAGGCCTTTGTTCAGGCTCCAGCTCTGTATTTTTTGCATTCTGGTGGCATGGAGTGGATTGGGGACTGGCCCAGGAAACTTGTCCCTAAGATTGCTACCCAGGCTGGTACTAATCTTTCTGTGCCCCTCTGGCTTTGCCCTCTGTTGCCCCTTCATATGCTCCACCCTCCTCGCAGGCCTCAGGCAGCTACTTGGGGAAACCCTCAAACTGGAGGAGGGTGAACTGCTCTTCTGTGGCATGAGCTGAGGACCAAGGGCAGAGGAGCACACAGCCACAGTGCTCTGCTTTCCCAGCCAGGAAGGGGTGAAGATGCATTCCCAGGTGCTTTCCAAGTGCAGCTGTTTTTCAGTCACTGTTTTCAGTGAGGATGTGTGTGTGCATGTGTGTGTGCGCGTGCGTGTCTGGGTCTAATGTATATTATTGTCTTAGCTTCCATTTTAAAAATTCTTTTGTACAGAGAGATACTGGGGCTTGGGGGGATGGGGATGGTTGAAGATGGTGGTGACCCTGGCATAGTAGCTGGGTGTCTGTACCATGTGGTGGGAGTGGAGGAAGAATGCTAGGCTAAGAGCTCCACTCTTCCCCTTCAAGCCCCCATGGGCTCAATAAGAAAAGGGCTTTTGATGAAATAGGTGAAATTTTTCTCTTTTTTAAAAAGATACCGAAACAAACAAAAAAAAAACCAAAACCCTCCCAGCCATTGGAAATAAAGTATGAAATTGAAGTTATAATGAATTCAGACATTGGGAATGGGGTCTTCCATGGGGCTTCAGACCACACTGGAGTGGTGATGGGTGGGACAGTTAGCTGGGCATCAGTACAACCTCCATAAAGCCTGAGCAGGGGCCAATCAGGACCTTCCTTCCCAGACTTGCCAGGGCTCTCAGTGGGCCTTTGTCCCCTTGTCATAGGAAGAGCTCTCCCTAAACTTCCTAGGTTCAGGTCTAAGAGCAGAGCCATTAGCATCAACCCTGGGTCCATCAAGAGTTCTGAGTGCAGCCTCCAGCTCTATAAATCAATGTAGAAGCCCCCAGAAGGCAGCCATCTGAGGCTCCCTCCCAGGTACCTCTTTTCCAAGTGTGGTTCCAAAGGAGGCAGGGCCCTTTTAACACTGAACATTTATTCCTGAGCACAATTACCCTCACACTTCGGTGGTGCCTCTGAGACAGCCCTTTTTTAGGGTTCTGTATCTAAGGGCTGCTGTTTATAGACTCTGTTGACTTTGTAGAAGAGGATGATGCAGAATAATTTTTCCCTGAAAGACTGAGAGTATGGGAAAAATCTAAAAAAAGTGTGTGTGTGTGGGTGAAGACCATGGAGGTATTGCTCTCAAGACCTGAAGCTCAAGAGGAAAGCTACTCCTTGGAGAGATCAGAGGCAGTTGGTACAAGAAAGTAGGCCTCAGCCTAGCATTGCCCACAGACTGACTGTATGGGAGTAGCACAACCTAAGCCTGGGAAAATCTGAGTCCCTGACCCTGCAGTCTCCAACAGGGAAAGAGAAGGGTTAGTGGGGAAAGCCCAAATTGGGAGGTGGTGAGGGCATTGTGACTTTAAGGGCAGCCTGAATTGAGACCCACCCCAACTCTCCCATCCTAGAAATGCCCCAGATGTCCCTTTCCCGAACTCCCAGATTCTCTCCCCACTCCATCCCTGCCACCTTACAGTGACAAAAACAATAACTGAACAACTGCTGGGTCCACGGGGCCACTTGTTCTTTCACTCTGTTTAGGGACCATTTCTCAACTCTGGACCCATGCATTAGTCCTGAGGGGACCTGGCCTCTAAAGAAAAGGGTCAGGCTCTTTCTTATACTCTCTGGTTCTTTATTCTCCCAATCCAGAAAATTACTTAAAGCTTAGGTTTGGTTCATATCCTCACAACGGGGGAGAGTAGGCAACAACTCGGTGTACAGGGTAAAGCAGGTATGGGATAGCTATTTCTCCACATAAAAGGTAAATTTAACACAAGAGATTCACAAGTACTCATTAACAAAGGCTTAAACAAGCATCAGTAATAACTTAAACCAACTGTTAAACTCTCCTCAGAGGTTGATAGTTAAAACATCAAAACATGAGGCATTTGTGGAACTGCTGAAATGGCCTTGCATCTTCACAACTCCACATTGCCCAGATGAATACCTGTAGGTCCCTGCCTTCTGGCAAGCTAGGCCCTGGGCTAGGCTACTGAAATAATGACCATTCTCCAGAAAAGTCCTAGAACATTTGTTCTACCAAAGTGCATCTCTCTCCAGCCGAGGACCAAAGAGCTCTCAAAACTCACGTGGTTGTCTTCAAGGATGAGAACGTCCAATTTGATGTTGCTGCTCAATCATCTACTCAGGAAAGAAGTGAAACTGAACAGGCAGCCCAAGGCCAAGGTTCAGGAATGCTGTCTACAATCTGCTCTCAGCTGCCATATTGTTGGGGTGGAGGGGAGGTGGACATGTTCCTCCAACCCCAAGAGGCTTAAAGAGTCCTGACCTAGTTGGCAAATAGGAAGAGAGTCCCAGAGTCAAGTCACTCCCTTTAAGGTCTGCTGAGCGGGTTACTTCTGGCTTTAGTGACCAATCCCTGACACAGCCAATGACTGCTTTGGCTTTGAGCCACATGTTCAGTAGTGTCTAGCATGCAGGTTCAGCACTCCATGGGTGTATTCTAGTTAGAGCAGAGCAAAGGACATATCCCCGCCCTCTCCCAGCTAGACATATAGACATCTTTGAGACTCAGTAACCCAACTGAAGTTAGGAAGACTCTTCTGGATTTCATGTGGCTATAATGGGAGTACTTATGTGGGCACCCTCTTGTGGCAAAGGCCCCGCCCTTGGGTAGTCTGAGGCGTAGCTCTGTCAAGAGACACCTAGCTGGGCAGTAGGGCCCTGATCCACTCATCTTGAACATACAGCCTCAAATCCAGTGATGACAATTTCAGGCCCATGCCTACAAACTCAGACACCTAAGCACAGTGTTTCCATCTAGAAATCCCGGAGTAGTAAGAGACAGAAGTAGATGTTTCTATTAAATGACCTGATAGATTTTTTTTTCTAAAAGCAAACGATCACAGTTCCAGAAACAGTGTTGTACCCCGACAAATACAGTAAGACTGCAGAACTACCCTCTTCACTACCTCCATTCTCACTCCACGTCTATACTCTAACCAGCCACGAGCCCACCATAGCAGTGGGGAGGGAAGAATAGCTTTGCAGTGAACTCAGAGGAGGGTAGGTGGGTGGCCAGCTCAGACTCTTTACCATGTGTCCTGAGCCCAACTGTAGTCACATAGATCCCACCACAGAGAGCACAACAGATTTTCTGGGAGAACAATATATTTTTATTGTTTCCCTGAGAAAGAAAAAATCAATGCTGGGGTAGGAAAGGAGGAGGGCTTTGACTCCTAAGTTGATGACCTGTCAATCAGCTCTTGAGTTCCTGTTACTCTTCTGACTCTGGCTCTAGCTGGGGTCCAGGAATGTTCAGGAGCCTAGGAATCCCCAATAGCTCCTCACAACCAGAGTCCTGTCTACTCACGGAGTCCAAGAGACAAGGCTTGGGTCCCAGCCAAGTCTTCCTTGTTCTGTTACCCAGTGTGTCACCAAAGCAGCATCCTACTCCACCTCTCCCCACCCCCCAACTGTCAGTTCCCCTTCCAATTCCACTGGGCAGGGATGCAAAGGTCCAGGGAATCTGAGACTGATAAGGGCTCCGTCTCCTATACTGAAGGGACTGAGCAAGTGGGAAGAGGCTCACAAATTGGGTTCAGAGTTGAATTACATTGTTCTGTCTCTGCCATTCACTATGGGCAAGTGACCCTTTTTCTGAGCCTCAGTTTCCTTCTCTGTAAAATGAAGGGATTGGATTAGATGGTCCCTGAGGTACCTCCTAGCTCTGACATTTCCATGACTGACCATGACTGTTGGAACTAAGTTCAACCAGAATAGTTTTTTTTTTCTATGAGAACGGGTAAGAATCTAGTACAGACTCTTTGTCTTTCCCCTCCCCTTTTCTACCCTAGAGCGTTTCCCTGGTTTTGAAGAATGTCTCTGAGCTGGAGAGCAGAGGACAGTTGTTACCCATTCCTCTTAGGGACCCTAGAGGAAAAAAACCAGGATACGGTGAGGGCATAATGGTCTGACTAAGCATCTCCAGAGGATACATAGTCCTATTCATTACCACAGTGGACTTCTAGATTGTGCCATTCTGAACCCCTAAAGGGTCAGTGTCAACCCTTAATCACTGAGGAGCTGAGGGATGCTGGGCTGGGCTGGGCAGGTTAGGAATATCTTTTCTGGTAGGGGATGAAGGGAAGATCCCAGACCTAACTCAGCCCCTGGGCCCATGCAGGTCCCTTCCACTTTTACTGCCCCAAACGCCCAGCCTGTTTGGCACGCTGCCTTCGGAGTTTAACAAAAGCCTGAGCTTCCCGATCACCCTTCCTGATGTCCAGCAGCTTCAGGATAGAGTCCCCTGGGAAAGAAGAGAGAAAAATGAGAGGAGTTAGAAACCTGGAGAATCTAAGCTTCCTGTTCTTATTTCCTGCTAGGGCTTCACTGCCCCATGCCAAGGTACTGACCATCCCATAGCATAAATAACCCTCCCACCTTCTCACAGCCCTCCTCCTGTGCCTCCTCTGCAGGAGCCCCAGCTCTATCCCTCAGCAGATAGCATACCATTGGAGGCAGGGTAGGTGAGAGGCAAACGTGTCTGCGGCACCTGGCCAGGATTATTGTTACCAGAGAGCCCCAGGACAGTGTTGAGAGGGAGGAAGGCCTCTCCCTCCAGGTCATCGGTCCCCAGCCTGTCGTGGTCCAGCACTGTGAGCAAGAGGCAATTCCCTTTCTTCTGGCATGACTCCGGAGACACCAAGCTGAAGACCAGTCACATGTGAGTGAACTCCTAAACCACCCCCTCCCCTCACGTGGACCAGGGAAACAGCCCTTCCATGCAAATGAAACCTAAAGCCTGAAAGGGGACCTATAGAGGGGTGGGTGGGTGTATGTATGTATACCTGGGATGCTTGTCATGGGATCAGTAGGACATTTGGGGGCCTAGCAGAAGTGCTGACCCTTTATCTCCAAGACTTTTAAGCCAGAGATTCCTATTCTCTTCATTTAATAGACTGCTGCAGTGAATTCAAGGTGTGAGGTTCTTTTCCCTCTTTCAGCAAGGGGACTGCCAGGACTGCAAATCTCACTCATGTACCCCGTCACAAGCTGTCTCCCTGCCCCCCAAGTCCTTATCAATCATCTGAGAGAGGAGCCCTAAGCTTGTTTGCCGGGGGAGGGGCCAATGGTAGAGGGATCCCAAAGCAGCTTGGGCTCTGGAGAGTGATTAGACTCAGGGAAGGATAGGAAGGCTAGAGTGCTGATCTAGGCTGGAGAGCACAGGTGGGATACAAAGTGTTAGGGAAGGGCTGTGACTCACAACTCAAAGGCTTCATCAAACAGGGGGTGCAGCTCCTTTTTGAACTTCTGTGTCTCCCGAGGGGCCACCTCTGCAAACTCATGTCGTGGCTCCAGGGTCAGCTGGACAAAGGGATCACTGGTGCCTGGGGGGCAGGGAGGAGGAAGGGGGGGATGGGGAAAGGATCATCTCTGCCCTCTCCCCTAACCTGTCACAACCCCAGCCCACTCCCCCCACCCCCACTTGTCCCAGTTTAGCTGGGGCAGTCCTGACTTCCCCCAGTGACCGTGGAGAATCATGTCCAAAGCTGGCCGCCCTAAATTTATTGTGGTCTCTTGGCTTCCACACATAGCGGAATCGCTAGGCCCTCCAGGGAGGAGAAACCCTTCTCCAGCCAAAAATAAAACAAAACCCACTTCTGTGCTCTATGTCTCTTGTGCCTGGATTGTCTGTCCCCCCTCCCCCTCTTCCTTTATCCTTTAAAGCCCAATTCAAATGCCACCCCCCACTAAGAAGCCTTCCCTGATTTTCACCCCTTCTTTCCTCTCTGAGCAGTAATGACTTCTGTCCTCAGACTCCACATAGCACTTTGCTTTGTAGTTCTCTAATGTAATTATAGAATATAATTCTCTATATTATATCTTCCTGTGCTAAAGATGACCCCAGGGGTTCTTGAAGAGTCGGGTCATGAAGAGTTGGACACAACTGAAGTAACACAACGAAATGCCTCCCTTGTTAACTTAGCTTGAGATCTCCTTACCTTTTTGGCTGCCACATCATACTACAGACTCTGAGCTTAGAGTCCACTAAAATTTCCATATCTTTTCTGGACAAGTTGATACCTAATCAAAGACCTGAGTTCAGATCTCGCCTATGCCACATACCACTTATGTGACCTTAAGCATGTAGCTTAACCTCTCTGGGCCTTAATTTCCTTGTGTGTAAAACAAAGAGGGTGGACTTAAGGGAGAGGAATTGTACCCTCTCTGCCTCACCCAGCTCTTTCCAGCTCTGAATCCATGGATCTTATGATCTATCCTATCCTTACAAAGTTGATTTTTTTTCTTTTTTTTCGCTAGGCAATGGGAGTTAAGTGACTTGCCCAGGGTCACACAGCTAGTAAGTGTTAATGTGTCTGAGGCCGGACTTGAGCTCAGGTCCTCCTGAAATCCAGGGCCGGTGCTCTATCCACTGTACCACCTGGCTGCCCCAAGCCAAATTTTTTTAATGTGAAGTGTAAGACTTTGCATATACCCTTATAAATTTCTTTTTTTTCAAATGAGATCTCCATACTGATGAAACCATGGACCCTTGACATGATGAAGTATATTTTTATCTTATCTTCCTACTAGACTGAAAACTCCATGCAGCTGGGGGCTATGTCTTATCTAAATTTCGTATCTTCTGTAGGCACTAGCACAGATCTCTGGATACAGCAAGTACTTAATAAATCTTTGTGACTATTGTTTGAGAGGTCCAAAGGAACATGCTGCCTTCCCTGTGCCTGGCTCCGCCTCCCTGCTCACCGTTGGAGTCCAAGGGTAGCAGGTTGGAGGCGCTGAGAACTTCAATCCGGAGCTTCTGTTCTGAGAGTCTGTAGGAGGCCTTGATGGTAATGGCCCCAAACTCTTCTGACGTGGTGTCTGCCTTTGGGAGGGAGGAGGTATGAGCAGCAGCAGGTGATAGTCCAGGACGGGTAGTAGAGAAGATGGGCTCAGTCCTAGGTTATACAGGTACACACAGGCCAGTAGGCGTGGCTAGGGGGGACGCTGTGGGACTCCACAAGGAGGAAGGTAGAGAAACCTGCTCCCTTTGGAAAGGGATGAAGGAGGCACCGGGAGCTTGGAAGAGGGGGGCATTTCAGGCCAACTCAAACACACATATTCGCCAAGACCATGTGCATTCAAGACAGATGGGACAGCCTTGCAACCTGACCAGCCTCTCCTGGGTAAACTGTGCAAGGTTGAAGCAGGCAAAAAGAAATGGCCTTACCTGTTGCTGGATGCGGTTGCTGAAATATCTTTGAATGAGTTCCTGACTAGAGGATGCCTGCAGTTCCAGCTTTCTCTGAAGATCCTGGAAATTGTAACAGACCATGAAATGAAGAGAGCTTAAAGGTCATCTAACGCCTCATCTCACAGGCAAGAAAACCAACCAGTGGAGGCAAAAGGACACGAGGAGAGAGAAATACCGATGGTCAGAGAGAAATGGAATGGAGAGAACAGCAGGGCAGAGTCACAGGCACAGATGGATGGATGGTAAATAGAGGGGACACAGTCACCCAGGAGGCTGGGACAGTCAGAAGGTGACACAGATGGCCCGTGGTCAGATGGGGGCCGTAGGAAGAAAGGGGACGGGGCAGCTAGGTGGCTCAGTGGATAGAGTACTGGTCCTGGATTCAGGAAGAACTGAGTTCAAATCCGGTCTTAGACCAGACACTTGACACTTATTAGCTGTGTGACCCTGGACAAGTCACTTAACCCCAACTGCCTCGCAAAAAAAAGGGGGGGACATCAATAGGGGTAAAATCAGATGTGGGACACAGATGGAGACAGAGTCATAGGCACAGATACCTGCCCCTCCCCACCACTAATCTCTGCACCCATCCCTCCATGGGGCCTTTACCTGCAATGAAGGTGTGTGAAGGGCTTCAGGGGACAGGCCACAACCCTCACCATAAAAACAGAGTTCTAGGTTCTAGGTATTGAGACAACCATGATTACTTCCTGGAAATCTCCTCCCTTCCTCCCTTCCCTCCAATCCCCTTCCCATTGATGATAATATTGTTCAGCCTGCTCACCCCTCATACCTGCAGGGCAATCTTCAGCTTTTGGGAGGTAAGAAGTGAACTCTGCTGGGCCGCAGCTGTTTGGGTAAGCACGCTGAGCGTGTGAGTCCAGAGCAGCAGCAGGAGACTGGACACCCGGAGGAGAGCAAAAGACAGGGACAGAGGTGTCCAAAACAGAACTCATTTTTTTTCTCCAAAAACATTTCCTCTTACAAATTACCCTGTTATTGTTGAGGGCATCACCATCTTTCCAGTCGTCCAGGTTCTTAACCTTAGAATAATTTCCAACTGTGTCTTCTCCTTCATCCCTCACATCCAGTCAGTTTCCAAGGACCACAATATCTGTACGTATGTGTGTGTGTCTCCCTAGAGGCAGTCAAGGTTAAGTGACTTGCTCAGGGTCACGCAGGTAGTGTCTGAGGTCAAATTTGAACTTCTAACTCCAGGGCCAGTGCTCTATCCATTGTGCCACCTGTCTGCTCCCCACGATATCTCTTATATCACATTCCTCTCTAGACACACTGTTACTACTCTACTTCAGGTCTACACATTGCCTCTTGCCTAGACTATTGCAGTAGCCTCCTAACTGGGCTCCCTGCCTCCATCTCCTCTCCAGTCCATCCTCTACATAGAGGTACATAATTGATATTCCTAAAGCACAGGTCTCAGTATGACACTACCCTGCTTAAGAAACCCCAGTGGCTTCCTCTTGCCTAGGAGATAAAATACAAACTCAACTGGCATTTAAAGCCCTCCACAGTTCCTGCTTATCTTTCCAGGCTCACTGAACATTACTCTTTCACAGGTTCCACCCAATCTCAGACAAATTAGCCCACTTGCTACTTTCTGTACACAACAATTCATTTCCTTCAGTGCCATTGAACAGTGCTTTACCCGGGATGCTCACCCTCCTCCCCTTAAGAAGCCCTGGCTTCCCTCAAAATTCTACAGGAAGCCTGTTCTGATCTCTGGAATGGCTAGTGCCCTCCCCAACCTTGCTCAATGACTTTGAATCAGTTTTTGTCTTTTGGATGTCTAATGTTTTACTAAATAGAATATAAGCTCCTTGAGGGCAGGGAGCACTTAGCAGTCTGCACATAGTGAGGTACTGTCTTTTCAGTGAATGAACTCCAACTCCATTCCTATTTCTACTCTCTATTCCCTTAGCCCTCACCTACTTTAAGTGTGAGGCTGAGAATAGGGTCCCTCTTAGGAAAATAGTTTAATATTGGGGATGGGTAGGTAGGCCTGTATGATGGAGGGGGAAGGACAGAAGGGACTCAAGGGACTGACTTCATTCAGTATTTTTATCAGGCCTTGGATGAAGACATAGAAAATGGGATAATCAAATTGCAGGTGACAGAGAGTCGGGAGGGACAGCTGATAACAGTGAACCAAACTAATAAGGGGAAATTTGATGGGGATAAATGGAAAATCCCAAAATTCAGCTGAATACATATAGGCTGGAGATTCCCAACTTGGCAGAAATACATGTGAAAACATACACACTGACCGAAAGCTGGCCCGCAGAGCAAGCTGGCAGCTAAACAAAACAAACAAAAAAACCTAACACCATCTGAAGCGGTATTAATAGAGACACAGCACCCAGACTCGGGATGTTGTCCCCTGATTCTCTGTCTGGGTCAGCTGCGGGGGAAAGAGGGCACATTTCAGGAAAGAATATTGACAAGCTCATGCTCGTGAAGGCATGGAGAGGGCTCCAAAGACCCCAAACTAGGAGGATCGTTTGAGGAGACTGGCTAAGTTTAACCTGCAGATGGTAAGACCCGGGAGAGGAGACGTCCTCAGGTATCTGAAGGCGTATCGCATCAGAGAGGGATGAAGCCCGTTCTGTGTTGCAATGGGAATCGGGGGACAAATCCGAACCTGTTAAAGTTTTCCTGCACCAAGTTCCTGTTCATGTAATGAAACTCTGACTCTAAAAACTTCATCAGAGGTAGGATGGCCTAGGAGGGGAAAAAAAGGAAGAGAGTTGTTTCCCTGCTGAGATCTTCCCCTGGCCTGACCCTCCCAGAACCAGAGAATATCAGCTAAACAGGACCTCAGAGGTCATTAAGGCCAGCTCTCATTTGACAGAGGGGATGACTGAGGCCCAGTGAAGGAAAGCAATTTATCCATGGATGAATGGTTGAAGGCATCCCCACCCCCAACAACCTGCGTGAGGTTATTGAGCATACTAGTTTGGAGTCAAAAAAACTGAGTTTCAGACTGAGTTAGGTGATTTTGGGTAAGTTTGGTTTGGCTTTTTGAGGCAATTAGGGTTAAGTGATTTGCCCAGGGTCACACAGCTAGTAAGTGTCTGAAGCCAGATTCAAACTTAGGTCTTCCTGACTCTAGGGCCAGTGCCCTATCCACTGAGCTACTTAGTTGCCCCTGGGCCTCAGTTCCCTTACTTGTACAGTGAGGAGGGGGTGGACTAGATCTCTTAAGGTCTCCTCTGGTTTTTAATCCTATGATTCTTTGAAACTCACATACCTATAAAGACTAGTCAATGCCCCACACTCCCCTAAAACTCCCTAGTCCGAAGGGCTCACTCACGTCTTCAGGCACGGTGGTTTTACTGGTGCCCACAATTTTCTGGATGTGTCTAGAAATGCCAGCCTCCAACTGCCAACCACAAAGAGATCAGGAAGTCAGTCAGGGGACGGGGGACAGGTGGGACAGAGTTGTTGGCTGAGATCTAGACAGGGCAGGGACATGTCAGGAGTCATCAAGGATGAGGTCACCAAGTCAGGCTGAGGAGCGTGGTCCAAATGAGGCCAAGAGCAAGGGAAGGTTCAAAAGGACTGTCAGGATGGAAGTACTAGGTACCTGCTCAGCCAGGGTCCGAACACCACTTCGGATCTCGTGGTCCAGGCCAGCCAGGGCACCCTGTAGCTGGGCGTGTAGCGTATGCTGTAGTTGTTCTGGCTCTAAGATGGCCCCTGCCCACTGTTCTAGGTCTTTCCATGCCAGCTGGGTCGGGAGCTTTAGGACCACCAGCCGAAGCTGTTCCATGTTATTCACCACCACGCACAGCTGGGGAAAGGCCTTGGCTCAGCTTGTTCCAAGGCACTGGCCCTCACCCCCTGTCCCCATGGTATTGCCCAGGACCAAGCTGATCATGCAAGCCAGACATTCCTGCAGTTGCCTCCTCCCCTGACTTCCTATGCCATCCTTCCCCAACCCCTATATATTTCCCCAGTGCCACCCCCCATGAAAACCAGGTGCTCACCATATTAGCTGCCTGTCCCTGGTCTTTCTGGTCGACAGAGAGTTCCTTGGCTCGAGCTTTGATTAGGCTACAATACACCAGAGCCAGCTTACAGGTATCCTGGGGATGGATCACCATCATTGGGGAAGGGAAAGGGAATACAGAAACATGGCACTCCGGGGGGAGCAGATGGAAGGAGGGATTCCAAGGGGCACAAGAGGCCACTGGAGACTTTGGACTTTGGAGCAGAATGAGGATGCTCGGGAGGAAGAGCAGGGATGAAATGTTAGGAGGAGTAGAAGAATCCCTGAAGATTTGCTCAGGGAGTGAAGATATTGAAGGGAATCCTCAAAGAGGAAAACATAGAAGAGATAGGAGGGTCAGGAATATTCAGAGAATATTTGGGTGTCAGGGGCAGTGGGAAAGTGGCATGAGGCCCTCCCCCACTACATACCTCAACAAACTTGACTGTGATCATGAAGGCCACCTCGGGGTCCGGCCAATCTAGCTGTCGGGCAGTGTGGCTGATCTGGGCAAAGCACGTGGACAGGTCCACAGCAGATGTACTGTGTTTGATCGGCTCCCCAAGAGGGACCAGCTTGGGGAGGAGAAAGGGAAAGAAAGGAGATGGCGTGAAAAAACGAATGTAGCATTGAACTTAGAGTTGGGCAGGCCTGGGTTCCAATTCCTCTCCAGATAACTAGCTGTGGATTCCTCAGTGAGACCTCTACAAATCTCAGTTTCTCTATCTCTTAAATGGGTATAATAGCACCTACCTGAAAGGGTTGTTGTGAAGCATCTTATAAACTTTAAAGTAAACTGTATAAATATGAGTTGGCATTATTATGAATAGTCTAAGGAGAGATGTCTCAGTTGACTACAAATTTACTGTGGGTGTGACATCTGGCAGAGAAATGGGAATTGGGTCTGAAAGTTCTTCTTTGCTGGCAATAGGGGATAAGCATTTAGACTATCCCCACTGGAGCAGAGTCAGTGTAGGAGGAATCTCTCCATGATCCATCCCCACTCTCAGACCCTACCTGATCCATCTGCACTGCCCGCTGGAGCCGAGCCAATGCCACGCTATAGGTCTTGAGCAGCCAGGCAGGGATGGCTGGGAGGAACCATTTGTGGAAGCCATCCAGATCCAGGGTCCCATCCCTGGGAGAAGCGACAGGTGGGTGCAGGCCCAGGGGAGGAGGGGCTTCCCTGGGCAGCTGAGCATCTTAGTGCCCTCGTGCATGCCTTGACTCTCCCCCAGACAGCCACTATCCCAGGATAACCTCTTTTAAGCACATTCCTCCCTATATATCCCCTCCTCCCACTCAGCACAGGTACCTCTCAGAAGGAGGGGGGACCAGCTGATAGAGCTCCTTGAGGCTAAGATAGAGCTGGAATAAGCTCTCCCCCATCTCTGGGGACACGGTGCTACCCACCATCGCCATGTGTTCCTTTACCCTCTGGGCCACCTGCAGAGAGAAAGAGCTGTGGATCAGGACGGGCAATGCCCTGGTGCAGGGTTAGGCCTGGCAGCAATAGCATCCCAGTGTTAATAGTGCCCTGTGGCCCCAGGCAGCTAGGTGGTGCAGTGGACAAAGTACTGTGCCTAGAGTCAGGAAGACCTGAGTTCAAATGTGACCTCAGACTCCCCAGCTGTGTGATCATGGGCAAGTCACTTAACCTCTGTCTGCCTCAGTTTCCTCAACTGTAAAATGGGGATAATAATAGCAACTATCTCCCAGGGTTGTTGTGAGGACCAAATGAGATATTTATAGAATGCATAGCATAGTGCCTGGCATGTAGTAAGTGTTTTATAAATGTTTGTTCCCTTTCTCCAAGGTCTCTTTTGGCACCAGGAAGGGAAAGGGGAGAAAAGAAGAAGGGCCTCACAAGCTTCTGCAGCTCCAAGAAAGCCATGGAGAAAAACTGAATCTTCAGTGTACTAGAGAGAAGGAATTAGAGGGGGAGAAGGTTAGGCTAGGCACACTGCCCTAATGTTCTTTCCCCTGCCCCAAGCCTGGATTTTAAGATCAATTCTTCCTACTTTCCCCTAAACTTGGGTTGCCTACAGAGCCATAACTAATAATTTAGGTACATGGGTGAGCTTTGCAAAATGCGTGGGAGTGGGGAAGGGGAAGGAGGGAGAGCAGCAGGAAATTCAGACAAAAAATTAATTTTTAAAGATAAATCCATGGTGGGCGGAGGGAAGGGTGGGGTTAGATTCCAGGACACTGCCCTACTTGGGGTGTGAGGAAGAGACAGAGATCTTGGCCACCATGAGGAGACTGGCACTGTGCCAGGAAGTTTCTGGGAAAGTTGTTATAGGACTGATAGGGTTGAGGTGGGACGTGGAGGGAAGGAACAGAGTTGGGCCAGCATGAGACCAACTCACTTAGACAGTGGCTACTACAGAAATGCCATAGACTCTCTAAGTTTCGGGGCCCTGGGTCAAATCCCTTCATGCCCTAGTGATGGCTCTGGCTCCCAGATCCCTAGCCGTGGACCCACCCTGGACCTCCAGATTTCTAGCTTCCACTTCTCATCTCACAGCCCAGCGTCCCATCTTCTATAGCTGCCAGTTCTCACAGCCCAGGCCCCCAGCTCCCAATCTGTTCAGTCCAGGTGCCCCTTCCCTGCCTCAGTTCAGATACCCTGAAACTAGGCCCCCAACCCCTGCTCTCTCAGCCCAGACCCCAGGGTCCCTTTCTGGCCATCTCTCACTTGTTGAAGATTTTGTTCCAGGTTCTCTGACATTGATGCAGATCCCCACTGACATCTAGAACCAGGCTCAATACGGACTTACACATTTCTTGCATGTCCTAGAAAGGAATATGGATTGAGAGGGGGAAAAAATGAGCAAATCAATAATGGGGAAAAGATCTGAAACCCCTTTATTCCAATCTATCCCTCCCATACTTCTGACCCCATGCCCTACCCTTTACCTGGACCATGGGCTGATGGTGCTGCTGTTTCATATGGAACCACTCAAGGGTGCCTGTCTGTGGGGAGGTGGATCTATCAGTGTTTGTCTCAGGGGCCTGGGAAACCAAGCCCTGGAGCCCACCAGAGAAAGAAGCCAAAGTGCTAAGGGTAGGCTGGAAAAGCCGGGAGCTGGAAGGAGGGCCCTAATACGCTTCGGGCCACAGGGGTCAACCTACCCAAGGAGGAGCATGGCCGATGGCCAGTGACTGGACAGCCATGGGCATCCCACCCTCACCATCAGGTCAGGAGATGGGGGACAGGGCAAGAGACATACCCGCAGCACCTCAGTCACCAGAGAAGACAAGGGTGCCCCATTAGGGCACAGCTCCGCAAACGCCTTCATCTTGCACATTTGTATCAGGACCCTGGGTGTGGGAAGAAGAAGGACCTGCATCCCAAATGCCCATCCCCCCCATGCCCAAATGGCTCGTTCTCCTACCTGACCCTTTGCTCAGATCTTTAAGCACAACACTTGTGTTTCAAGCCCTTATCTTTCTCCCCAACTTAGAACGTCCCCAATCTAACTCCTCCTTCTCCACCCACTGCCTCTCTCCTCAGTCCGAGAAGAGGATCCACTTGCCTGCTCCAAATCTAGGGAAACAGGGTTTCAGGTCCTGGAGACCAGGATGGAAATAAGAAAGATGGGGAGGCGTCTGACCTGAGGAGGGACTGCAGACGAGCTGGGGAGCCAGAGGCCGAGAGGGGGAATACAGATCGGAACCTCCGGATCAAGGAGAGTCCATAGGTCAGTAGGGAGTTGAAAGAGGCAGCCAGTTCTTCCCGCTGTGGAGAGTGGAGTGGTGAAAGAGTTAATCCAAGGGAGGGAAGGAGGGAAACACCAGTGTGTGACATCACAATTTGGGGGCCCAGGTACCTCCCTTTCCACATGACTACAAAGGGGTCCTTGTCTTCTCAATATTCCTTCCTCCCCTCCCACATCGTGAGTCCTACCTGCTCTGGTTTCAGCCTTCCCTGTATCCACTGATACTCCATGGCAGTGATAGGGTGCAGCAGGCAGCTTCCTGGGAACTCCAGACTTTGGTAGAGTCGGCTATAGGCCAGCCACTGCCTATATCGGGTATATGGACAGCATCAGCTTTGCATAAAGCTGGGCACTGGTCCTCACGTTATGCTGGTCTTCCTCCCCAAGTCCCCACCACAGCCCAAAAATCTACAGGCCCGGGTACAGGGTACAAAGGGAGAATGCCTTCGTTTAGGCTCTAGGATAGGGGTGCTCTCAGCACCGGTGCCTGGACTTCTATGGCACTAGGGAACAGTCCTATCAGAATACTCACGCCATAGACTGGTGAAATTCAGATAGGTCTTTCTGCGTGGCATGGAGGAAGAGAATGGTGGAGGCCTGGGGGCTCAGCTCTCCATCCCAGGAAGTGCTGCCAGCCTGTAAAGTAAGAAGGAGTAAGAGTGTGAGGTACCCTGTTCTGAGGCAGCTCGGGGAATGTTTGCTAGCAGACAAGATGTTCTGGGATGCCCCAGACCTGTTCTTCTCTGCCCCGGCTTCCCAGTTCCCTCCCTGTCCCCTTACAGGGGTACCTGGTGCTGAGTGACCTCATGAGACACCAACTGCTGAAGGAGGTGACGATGCACAGTGTAGCTGGGATGGGTACGGCTGGTAGTGGTGGCCCTCTACAATGGAGAACAGGCCATGCACATCAGAGGGAAGAATCGACCTATGGGCCTACGCACTTCCCCCCAAGCCTTTATCCCCCATTGGGTCATTGTAGGTGAGTCACCAGAGAGAGAAAGGAAGAGAGGTATCGGGTCCAGCTCCAACAACCTCTGATCCTTGGTACCTACCCTTCTGTCCCACTTACCCGCTTATGAATGAGCAGAAATTGCAGGTGGCACTGCCCTCGATCTGGGTAAGTCTCTGTTCGTGGTTCCAGTGGGTACCACTGATCCTCCCGGCAGCGTAGATCCTGTGCAAGGGCACATGGATGGATGTGAAGAAACATAAATGGATAAATGGCTAACTAGGAATGCTGGTGTCCAGGGTAAATTCAGTTGGGAGTGGGGGGGGGGAGTGAGGGACAGTAGTAGGCAGGGGTAGATGGACCCCAGAAAAGAAGTGGTTCTGAGATGACTGGCTGGAGAATTGACTTAGGGAAGATTGCACCTGTGGATATCAGTGCCCTAGGGCAAACCTCCAGTTGTCCCACCCTAGTTATGACTCCACAGGTGGACACTGGAATATATGGATAGGTGTAAATACTGATAGCTACATGGCACACAGGCATAGGAATACTGAGAATATGAAACACATGCCCTGTCCCTTAGGACATAAGGAATGCCCTGGCATGGGCACCTGGTGCCAGATGACCCAAAGATATACACGTGGAAAAGGGGACATGGATGTGAGTACAGAGTGACATAGGACAGATCTGTGGCCAAGTCTCTGAGCCCTAAAGGAAACTGAGTCATTGAGGGAATCTCTCCTAGTGCCCACTAGCCATCCACATCCATCCTCAAGTATCAACATCTTATCCATCCTTCAGGCCGAACCACTGATGTTTAAATCCCCTTCTTCCCCACCTCCCCAACCATCTTCCCGTTTTCTACCTCACCTGCAGCCTCAGGACCACATTCCCCAAGAAGTCATCCTGTCCCTTGTCCTTCCGTGCTTCCTTGAAGATCCTGAGTCAGAGAAGGGGGCCCAGTAAGGAAGGAGCTGGGTGGGCTGGGCCAGGAAGGCCCAGGTAAGAGTGAGGTGGCATTCAGGCTGGGTTCTGACACCCCAGGTGTGGACACTTCAAAAGTCCTTAGCTGAGCCTAGTGCCAGGATAGGAGCGGGCAGTCCCCCCAGAGAAGCCTCTGCCCCATTCCCCGTGCACACAGACATTGGCTATGTTACCCTCTCGTGTAGCATGGGGTCCTTACCTCCGGAGGCCGTGCAAATCCGTCAGCTCTCCCAATTTCTGCCTCACAGACTCCACCTGGTCTGCATCCCTTGTGGAGAGAGGGAGATCACGGAGTCAGTGGAGTGAGATCTGGGAAGGACCTCAGCTATGTTGGGGTAAGGGGTGTGGGACAGAGAGAGGCCTCTCTTGTAAAAGCATCCTGTCTTTATTTGCAGATACCATGAAACTGTGAGGAATAGGCACAACTTTGAATGACAGGGTCAGGATTCAGAAAGACCTCCATGGATAAGAACAGCAGTCTGCATCTATAAAGATTAAAGTTCAGAGGTCCTACAAATGAAGTCCTACATTTGAATTTAAAAACAACCTCACAAGCACAAGATGAGGAAAGTGTGAAAGACCTGGGGATTTTAATGGCCTGCAAGGTCAATAGGAGTTAACATATGGCAGCCCCCCAAGGCTCAGGTGATCTTAGGCCACACCGAGAGAGGCAGTATCCACAACTAGAGAGGTACTCTGCCCTGGTCCAACCATATCTCAAGCACTGGGTTTGAATCTGTACACTGCATTTTAAGCACAAGTTGGAGACCATTCAGAAGAGGGAAACCAAGGGAACGTAAGATCAGTGATCTAGAGCTGGAAGGAAACTTAGAGGCCCACTGAGGCCAACCCCCTTATTCTACAAATGAAGAAACTGAGACCCAGAGAGGAGAAGTGACTTGGCTGAGGTCACACAGCTTGTAAGTGTCTGAAGGAGGATTTGAACCTGGAGTGATTCCTGCACTCTAAGTCAAGGTCTGTATCCACAAAGCCAGGCTGCCTCTCACATGATGACAACCTTCAGTGACTAGATAGTCATGGTTAGAGAAGAGGGACTGGTCTTGTCCTGATGATACTCAAAGCAGAATTAGGATGAAAGCTGCCGAGGAAGAGTCTGTCTTGGTTTAAGTCTTCCCAACAATTAGAGCTACCCAAAGTGGAATGGCCTCCCTTCTGTGGGAGTGGGTTTCCCTTTCAGCGATCTTCAATTGGTCCATAAGCATTTAGTAAGCACCTACTCTATGCCAGGCACTAAGTGCTGAGGATACAAAGAGAGGTAAAAGACAAGTCTTTGTTCTTAAGGCACCCACAGTCTAATAAAAGAGACAACATGCGAACAATGATGTACAAAGAGGATATATACAGGACAGATTGGCAATCATCAACAAAGGGAAGGCCCTAGAATTAAGGCAGAATCAGGAAAGGCTTCTTGTAGAAGGTGGGACTTTAGCTGGGGTTGGAAGGAAACCAGGGAAGCCTGGAAGCAGAGATGAGGAAGGAGAACTTTCAGGCCTGGGGGACAGCCAGGGAAAATGCCCCGAGGAGGGAAATGGATTATCTTGTGGGAGAAGCAAGAAGGCCAGTGTCCCTGGATTGGAGAGTATGTGAGAGAGTGTAATGTGTAACAATACTGGAAGGGGCGAGGGGGAGTTTGGGAAGGGCCTTGAACACCAAACAGGATTTTTTAAAAAGGCGAGATGCCCATTTCGGGTAGCTGGGTGTCCCAGTGGATGGAGCACCAAGCCTGGAGTCAGGAAGACTCATCTTCCTGAGTTCAAATCTGGCCTCAGTCACTTACTAGTTGTGTGACCCTAGGCAAGTCACTTCACCCTGTTTGCCTCAGTTTCCTCATCTGTAAAATGGGCTGGAGAAGGAAATGGCAAACCACTCCAGGATCTTTGCCAAGAAAACCCCAAATGGGGTCACGAAGAGTCAGACACGACTGAAAAACGACTGAACAGCAACAAAAGTGCCAATTTGGGGGCAGCTAGGTGGCACAGTAGATACAGCCCTGGCCTTAGGGTCAGGAGGACCTGAGTTCAAATCCTGCCTCAGACACTTGACACTTAATAGCTGTGTGACCCTGGGCAAGTCACTTAACCCCAACTGCTTCACCAAAAAGCAAAAAAAAAAAAAGCCAATTTGTCAGTCATGTCATGGGAGGAATTCTTGGCCAGATATGAGTTAGATTAGATGATGTCTGAGGTCCTTTCCAAATCTGAGATTCTATCCATGGTATCTGGTAGTAGACTGAGTCTCCCTTTGTAACCATGAGAACATGGGGTGCTCAGCCCTCACATACGTACCACATATCCAAATGGAAACTGGCAGTGCTTATATCCTCAAATTCCCTGTGAGACAGAGAAAGTAGTTTTGTGGTTGAAGGGGAGATGGGGTAACGGATCCCATTCTGCCTGTCTTCTCTGATCTCTATCTCTCCCCTAGTTCATACCCTTTTTTTCTGAGCTTGGTAGACTACATACGGCTACCTCCGAAGTATAGCCCCAGACTGCTTTCATCCCACTAAGTAAGTAATAAGGTGAGGGGAGAGATGGAACCCCCAGCTAGGCTTATAGCAGGATAGGGCAGACATGGGAATTTGGGAAGGAGGGGAAAGCGACTTACAGGAAAAAAGTCTCATCCCACTCAGGGTTGAGAGTCTGGCTGATGACCTGAGTCCGATGGGTCTGGTCTTCAGGGATTGTGTTCTTCACTACGGCCTTCTGCCGTCGCCGATGCCCTGGGCTGCCGTCTGGCACGCTTACGCCCTGCTCAATAATGCCCAGCAGGCAGTAGGGATCACTGTACCCTGATACCAGGTAAGGACAGATGAGGAGGAAGGAAATGAGAAGGAAGGGAGAGAAAGTCGACCTTTAAGCTCAGTCCTTCCTTATTCCTAATTTAAAGTTGCAGAGATCTGGCCAGGGAGGGGACATCTGCTCTTGCTGTCTCTTTCTGGGGTGGAGGTGGAGAGCCCAGAAACCCAAGAGGGCCAGAAAGGAGTGAGAGATGAAAACCAGGCTCATAGGGGCCTGGCAACTGGTAAGGAAAAGCAGAGATAACTTTCTTGGTTTGGGTTTGCAGACTGTTTTAGGAAAAGGGCTTAAACAGAATCTCCTCCCATCCCATTTGGAGAGGATCCTTGACCCCAAAGAAGGGAACAGGAAGGACCCCCACTTCTCCACTCACCACTGACATCCTTTCCAAGAATGCCTTTGGCCCGCTTTACTGTCACCTTCAGGCAAAACAAGGGCTTCTGGAAAGAGGGAGATGGAGGGGGAGGTGCTGAGACCAGGAAATGGCTAGAGCCACCCAAACCCCCTCCCCCAGATGCTTCACCTCTCCCACCCCCTTGCCTCCCTTACCTCAAGATCCTGAACTTTTTGGAGCAGCTGTTGATGTACCTCAGGCTTCATGTGAAAGGCCTAGGGGGTCAGGGGAAGGCGGCCAGGGAAGATGAACAGATGAAGAGAGGGAGAGGAGGAGGAGGATGGTGGGGGCAGGGGATTAGCCACAGGGGAATTAGGAGACTAGGAGGAAGGGCCTTGAGTCTGTATCACTTTGGTATGGTGACATGATGTGCAAGTTCCAAGGCTGGGGTGGGGAGATGGGTGTGGGGGGGAGTGATGGAGGGAGGACTCTGGGAAAGAAGGAAGGACAATGGGTCTTATGTCTTACCTCCTGTAGATAGCTCAGCAGCTCAGAGGCTTCTGCTACATGTTTAGGCTCAGGTTGGCCTAGCCGATGCAGGACTGTATAGAGAGCTTCCTCATAGAGGAGAGCCTGCTATAAAGTACCGAGTAAATCTAGTTCAGATATTCCCCAGGCGGCTGAGGTTCCTTGTTCCGCCTTATAGGATTCCTGAGGACCCCAATCCAACTAGCCCAGAACCTTACTTTCAACTTAGTTCCTCCAACCCAACCCCAGTTCCAACTCCCTGAATCCATTGCCCAGAGCAAGGACAGGGCACCCCCCATCAAGTGGACTTTCCCCTGATGCCACCTGTACCGTCCACTTCTACCCCCAACTATAGAAGGGCCTCCAGAGGACCTGGGGCTTCCGTCTAGGGCTTCTATCCTTTCTCTACATCCCTGGCTCTTACCTCCTCTGGGGAGAAGTGATGAGATGGAGTTTCCATCTAGGGAAGAAGAACAGGAAGACCCACCATGTGAGCTCTGTGCTAGGACAAGAGCTAGATATAACAAGGATTAGACAAGGTCCACCCAGCGCTATCCAACGGATGTCAGCACCTCCCATACAGCCTGAGAAATGGTTGGCCCAGGATACAGCCTGCCGGGCAGCAGCTGTGAGAATCTTTCAAAGAAGGGAGCGTGAGGTCCTAGTGCTACTCACCCGCCAACACAGCTGTTGATTTTTCTTCCTCCCCCCTCCCTGAATGGCACCATCTCCACCCCTCCCAGGAAGGGGCCAAAGTCTAGGTCAGGGGAGAGGAGCCCAGCTACCTCTTCACTGGCCTGGCCATGCCTGAAGCCTTCGAGAGGCTCACTGTTTGGGTCCATTGGGCTTCAGGGGTGCCTGCCCTCTGTTCTACTTTATAGAAGCTAGAGATATATGCCTGCTTTGTTCTGCCTGGTTCCCCTTTCTGCACCCTGCCCTCCCCCCTTCCCCACCGGCGTACCCCTAGAGGAAACCACACCGCTTATCTAACCTCAAGTACTCCCCTACTAACACATCAGCAACGGAAGTGTGAGGCCTCCTTCTGAGGACAATGTGAACCTTGGGAGTAGTCAGAAGCTTGGGTGGGAGGAGGCTGGGGAGATAGCTATCCTGAGGGAGGGAATGAGCCAGCTCGAGCCTGGGGTGTCTTCCTCTCCAGGGCGCTGCCCACTCTTAACGCTAAGGCAGTGGAAAGAGCTGGGGAAGAAGGGCATTCTCATGGGGCGGCGGGGTTGGAGTCTCTGGCTATTTACTCAGGTTTTGCTTGGTCCAGCTATAGAACTGTAGGGCCCCCTTCCAGTCACAAGTTAGGGGGATTAGGGTTCTAGGTTTTAGAAAACACCAATAAGCACTAGAGAACCCATGAGCAGAGCTCAGCTCCCAACACTGCCCTTTCTCTCCCAACTTTCCTCACTAGGAGTCCCAGAGAAAGCTCCCCTTCTGCTAATGGGCCATCACCTTGGAAGAGAACTCAGCTGTTACTCAGTACTGTTTCCTGGAGCCTGGGAGTAGGGGCAGGGAGGGATGGGGACTGAGACCACAGATCAGTCTTCTCTTCCTCAGTCTCGCCTCTCATCCCCTGACCTCCGCTTCTCAACCCGAGCCCATGGGGGTGGAGCCAGCTAATGGAAATTTTATTTGAGGGCATCATCCATATCTGAGCACAACACCCTAGTCCACACACAAGGCTCCACCTCCCTCCCACCCCTGTCTAGCCTCTTCCCCTGAGTTTTTCATACCTCTTGATTAGTTTGAGGGAGGGTTTCCAGCAAAAGACCTTTGGCCTTCTGGCGCCTTATCTTGATGGCTTGGCGCAAGAGAGGAAGACGCCGTAAGGGTTGAGAGAGGGGTGTCGCCATGCTGGCTAGTTCTTCTCTTTCCCTCTGATAGGAGAGACCAGCCAGTAACACTGGGTTGTGCAAAACTGCTCAGGGTACCGTCACCCCAACTGGGGTAATGCTGGATGTGTTTGGTGAGAAGGAGGCGGGGAAAGGAGGAAGAGAGGAAAGGAAGTTAAAAGGGCCTTACTGGGTTTCACCATGCCGGGGTCCAGAGGTTGGGCCCCCACGTCCTTTTCTTCTTCCTCCGGTCTGGTTCCCTCCCTCTTGACTGTCCCTCCCCCTTCTAAGAGTCAGAAGCTGGGCCTCGTAGGAGGTACTCTGCTGCAAGGCACGTTGGGAAGGTCTAGCCCCACTACCCTGTAATGTGGGTGTCTGGGTGTGTTTGGCCAGCCAGCCTTCTTTCCCTACAAATCAGACACGGATCCAGGGAGGATGGTCTAGAGATGAGCAGCACAGATCTGCTCTTCAGGTGTTCTGGGAGCTAGTGCCTCACTAGCTCCAAGAAGCCCCAGGACTGCTTGAGGAGAGGGGGGGAAGTCTCTGCACCTTACCAGAATAGGTGAGTCTCCCTACACTAACAACCACGTGCACAGCATACCTGGGAGGTTTATACCTGGCCCAGCCTGAATGTTGACATTCCACTGGGGTGATACACCTGGCTCCACCCAAAAAAGCAAAAGAGAAATCTTCTTTGTTCTTAACCCCAGCCCCACCCAAAGCCAACTTTCCCCTTTCGAATGCACTAGTGGGTGTCTCCCAGTCTCTTTTCTTCCCCTTTCCAGATACAATGGGAACCTAGTATAGGTGCTGTCTAGTATGGGAATAGATGCATTGGAGTTGAGGGCAGAGGCTTATGTGAGCACGTGTTTGTGATGACTAAGGTCATGAGAGTTGAAGGGGTAGAGAAATTGAAGGGCCTGAGTATTTGAAGGAGACAGTGATTGCTCTGGGGAAACCAACAATGAGCTGGCCACTGATCTTCTTGAGGGAGAGTGACTTAAAGGTCCATAGATAATTGCTGCAAGGCTCTGGACAGGATAGAGGGGTTTTGGCTTTTTTTTTTAACATGTGAAGTCATGCAAAATATATTTCCATATTAGCATGTTACAAAAAAACAACCAACCACCTCCCCCCTCGAAAAAAAAAAACAAGAAAAATGAAAGTGGGAGAAAAGCACTCGAGTTCATCAGTTCTGTCTCTGGAGGTGGATAGCATTTTTCATGAGTCCTTTGGAATTGTCTTGGATCATTGTATTGATTAGTCTTTTACAGTTGCTCATTGCTACAATATTGCTTGTTACTATGTACAATGTTTTCCTGATTCTGCTCACTTCATTTTGCATCAGTTCATATAGTCTTTCCAGGTTTTTCTGTCATTTATTTTTTTTAGTTCAGTTTATTTTTTTCAATTACATGTAAAGATAGTTTTCAACTTTTTTAAGGCAACTGGGGTTAAGTGACTTGCCTAGGGTCACACACTAGTGGCAAGTGTCTGAGGCCGCATTTGAACTCAGGCCCTCCTGACTCCAGGGCCAGTGCTCTATCCACTGCACCACCTAGCTGCCACTCAACATTCATTTTGGTAAGATTTTGTGTTCCAAATTTTTCTCCCTCTCTCCCTTCCCAAGACAACCACCTGATATAGGTTATATGTGTACAATCATGTTAAGCATATTTCCATGTTAGTCACATTGTGAAAGAAGAATCAGAACAGGAGGGGAAAACCACAAGAAAGAAAAAACAACAACAAAAAAGTGAAAATTGTATGCTTTGATCTGCATTTAGACTCTATTGTTCTTAGTCTGGGATGTGGCATTTTCCACCAAAAGTCTTTTGGAATTGTCTTGGATCATTGTCTTGCTGAGAAGAGCTAAGTCCGTCATAGTTGATCATCATACAATGTTGCTGCTACTGGGTACAATGTTCTGGTTCTGCTCACTTTACTCAGCATCAGTTTATATAAGTCTTTCCAGGTGTTTCTGAAATCTGCCTACTCATCATTGCCTATAGAGCAATAGTATTCCATTACATTTACATACCACAATTTGTTTAGCTGTTCCACAATTGATGGGCATCCCCTCAGTTTCTGATTTTTTGCCACAACAAAAGAGCTGTTATATTTTTGTACTTATAGGCCCTTTTCCTTTTCTCTCTTTGGGATACAGACCTAATAGTGGGATTGCTGGGTCAAAAGGTAAGCAGTTTTATAACTCTTTGGGCACTTTCAAATTGTTCTCCAGACTGGTCGTCAGTTCACCGATCCACTGATAGTGCACTTAGTGTCCCTATTTTTCCACATCCTCTCCAGCATGTCATTTCCCTCCTCCCTCACGCTAGCCAGCCAACTTGCTAGGTGTGAGGTGGTACCTAGGTTGTCTTAATTTGCATTTCTTTAAACAATAGTGATTTAGAGTACTTTTTCGTATGACTACTGACAGCTTTGATTTCTTCAGCTAACTGCCACTTCATACAAGTTTGAGGGGATTCTTAACGATGGTGACAAAGGGAAGGTCTGAAAATGGCAAGGAATTTGCTAACTCCTGTTTCTGGCCCTAGATGTCAGGGGTTGTTAGAGAAGTAACAGTCAGCCTTGGAAAAGACTGATGAGGTATGGTGTATGCAAGAGAATGACAGGACTGTTTACCATGGGGGGAAGGCAGCTCTTGCCTCAGTCCTGACTAATCTTGGCCATCTTCCATGGCACAAATCCAAGCTGGGGGGAGGGGGGATATAGCCTTCCAGACACCCACCCACAAGATAATAGAAGCATACTGAGCCCAGAAGGTAGGCAGCATATAAATCGATGCACCTCTCCCCATTCCCCATGTTCCAGGGATGTCAGCACAGGCAGCGCAGACCTGGCAGCTAGGGGGCAACTCTGAAGTCCAGGACTCTTGGCATGCCTATGCTCAAAGAGAAGCAATTAAGTGTGTGGGAAGTTACAGTCCACAGGGCTGAGCAGTTTTCAGAGAACTGGATGTTAAGTTAGGTCTACAGAGATTTGGTGACGTGGCCACACAACAGCCCAGAGCCCACTGTAACTAAGAAACCCCAGGGAGGGACAGAAGGATTGTGCCTGAGAACTTAATTCCACTTAGGAGTCCAAGGTACGTTAGATGAGGAACAAGCAGACTGGCTTTCCTTAGCCCAAACCACATCCACAGCTGCACCCAACATTTTTTCATGGACAGCTCTCATCAGGGACTAGATTGCAAAAGGAAGAAAGGATCATCTAGAAGACAAGCTGCACTGCTCCCACAACTCTTCAGCCCTTGGCTCTGGCAGACTTCTGCATGGGGCATTTTCTGAGCTGGGGCATATTGGGATCAAAAGCAGGGCTCAACCTTGGAACAACAGAGAGGAAAGGTGAGAGCATGAAGCCTGGTGAGAACTGGCACTTCCCACAGAGGAGAACTCACCCAGGCTCCCTGGAGCTCCTAATACACGGCCCCAGGTAGGTCAGGGATCCTTGCTCAGACGTCACACACACAGGGAGACAGGAAAGTCAAGCTACTTCATCTTTACTACATCATAGTTTTGGCAAACAAATCAAGGTGCAACAGGGTTTATTTCACATTAATATATTAACTGGATTTTTGTTCAAATAAATAGGGAGTTCTCTTTTAAATAATGATCTTCTCACACTCTGGCCAATCCAAGTGGAAATCAAAGGAAATTAGTGCATCCAGGGGACAGTCACCAATCAGGCATGAAGCTTAAAGTGAAGACATGATAACTGAATTGGGACTGACAATGGACACCTTTTTACTCAGGACTAAGCCAGGCCCCAAGATTCATGGAACACTTGGCCCCAGGTACATCTGATTTCCACCTAGTGAGGAGCCCTAAGCAGGGTAGGATAAGACGTGCAATCTTCAGCTCTGGGCCTAGGCAGCCCCTCTGGGCACAGGAGGGAACCTCAAGACCCCCTAAAAGCATGAGTTAGGAATACAAGGGAGCAAAGCCAAGCAGTCATTTGTATGTTTTCTCCCTAGCTGAACAGTCTTCCCTTTATTCTCCCTCCACCAGTCCTAGGCATTGCAATCTCACGATCAAAAACCACAACAAAGTGATGGGGATATAAAAGAAGAGATAGTAGGAGTATGAACAGGTGTGACACCCCAAAGGGATGGGAATGGAAAAGATGGGACTCTCGAGGGCATGCCACCACCCGGTCTTATGGTCACGGTCACACTGGAAACCCAGACTAGACTTCACAGCTGGAGAGAGATTAGGGTGTTGATGGAATGTGGGGAGGGGCTGGAAGGGGACCCTTGAGGGGATGAGTTCAACCCACCTTCCCAGGTCTGGCAGACAGATACCTCTACTGATGTGGGCTGGGAGGAGCCAGAAATATAGTCCAAAATGAATTAAAAAATAAGAGTGCTGGGTAGGAGCTGAGGGGCTGGTCAGGAACAGTCCCCTCCTTTATGGGAAACTGTGTTAATGCAAGAGGAGTAAAATGGAAATGGCGACTTGAGTGGAAAGCCCCACTGATGAAGGTGGAGGAGAGGTGTCAATGTCCCTAGGCCAGCTGGAAATCTCCCAGGCTACCTCTCTCCCCTTCGTGCCTGTTACTGCTAACTACACACAGGCCTAGAGGAAAAGCCGGATCTGACAAAAGCCTCCGCACCAACTCCAAACTCAGCTCTGGGGGAATAAGGGAGCAGGCGGGCGACGAGGTAGTAGATGCAGGTGCATCTACTGGGTCTTCTTGTCTTCTGGGGGGTAGTATGGAGGTGGTGGGGGCTGGTCCTGAAGAGAAGAAAAAAAGAAATAGGACCGACTCCAAGAGTACAGGAGGAACTTCAGATGATTTCCTTCCCCTGACCTCCCACAATGGTTTCCAGCTAGCGGTTTACCCAGAGAGGTTGTCGCCCTCCCCACCCCCCACCCCGACTCACCGTGGGCATGTAGACGTTATGGGGATTGACAGGGTTGTAGTAGGCGCTGGCGGCAGCTTCGGCAGCTTTTGCTTCAGCTAAAAAGAAACACACATATATCCCAAGCACGGCTGGGCTGTCATCCTCTCCCTTCTCCAAGGGAAGGAGCTCCTAAAAGCGTGGGGTCAATAGTTCCTCTAGCTTCACTGATCTTAACACAGAAGCAGCTGCTGCTAGCCCTTTCCTTCCACTCTACCCAACTCCAACTGACACAGTGAAGCTGGAGCTGGGGACATTGGGAATTATTGATCTCAGGGGCCCGCTGGTCTCTAGAGGTTGCACTCAATCACAGAAAGAGGGGTGGGGAATATCTACTTTTACTCTGTCAGGTTCCTTCCCACCTTCTAGGGTTCTCTAGAGATACCTGCAAGGTGGACCCTCCTACTGGGGGACAATGCCCCAGCACTGCTAAGCATTTCTGAGCTGCTTCTGGGGCATGATGGATCCCTTACCTGCAGGAGTAGATGGTACATCAGGGCCACCGACAGGTGGCTCCATGGGTCCAGGATATGGAGGTGGTGGGGGCTGCACGTACCCTATAGCTCCATCCATCATGGAAGGTCCTGGATAAAACTCTGCTTAGCAAAACAAGAGCCAAATAACCACTCTGGACAGACGGCTCTGTATGGTAAACACTTGACTACTGAGTCGAGTCACACCTACAATTCAACTATCACGTCAGCACACTCAGACATATCTGAAGTTTCTCTGTTAAACCTTAAATAAACTCCAAATTTCTAAACACACATATACACCCCCACACCCCTCCCTTTTACACAGGGACCAGCAAAACAGACTCACCAGGTGGAGGTGGTGCATAGGGATAGCTTGGAGGGTTTGGGTACATTCCATTGGCAGCTGGAATAGGAAAAGCATGGGCTCCATTGGGCACGTAAGAATACCCATAAGCTCGATTGGGGACTTCACCTCTGGAGGCTGCAATCACAGAATAAAAGGGAGAGAAGCCTTACTCAATCAGAGGACAGTGAAGAGTAGAGGCTCAGGTAAAGGGAATAAATATCATCCTCAGAATTCACAGCTTTCAATCAATTCTTTTCTTTCTTTTACCTCTTAGAATGTAGTTCAGAGTTCCCATTTCCTATGTTTGAGATTCTGAGACCCTACCCAACCCAGGATGCCCAGATACAAACCCAGCCAGTCCTAAAAAACACTCTATCTTCGGTACCCAGCTTTTAGAGTCTACACACCTTGGGCAGCCACCTGTAGCATTCGCTGTCCAAACTCAATGGCACCCCCTGCTGCAAAGGTCAATTTGTATACAGCTGATCCTTCCAGCCACCTGGGGAAAGAAAGGGGGGGTGGGCAGGGGAAGGGGGGCAGAGAGAGAGAGAGAGAGAGAGAGAGAGAGACTATGAACAAATAACTAGGTGGAAAGAAAGCTGGGCTGTATCTGAAGAGATGATTATTTGTCCTCTCTGGGACCCTGTCCAATTTCCCTGGAAGCCTGCAGGGAAAGATTTGGTTCAGCTGTGCAATCTGATCAGCACTTGTCTCTCCCTCATTGCCAAGACTGCGCCTGGACTCTGGCCCACACCAGGCCCTGGCTTAGCCCCATGGTTGCCTTCTTCCCACTGGCCCTGACCATCAGAACAAAGAGCTTTTCCTGCACCAACAGTGCCCCAGGTGCTAAGATCCTTACTAGAGCACTCCAGACCTTGAAGCCAGGGAAATTATCATTAGGCCCCCTCAGGGGAATGTGGAGAGAAGCAGGAAGCCAAGATCCAACAACAATGGAGACAGCCTTGCTTTGGCTTAAAGGCCAAGAGAAAGGGGCTCTCACCTCAGGTCTAAGCCTCAACAAAGCCAACAATAACAGTGACTCCACGTGGCCAAGAGTCTTCAGGTACAGGGCAAAGCTGTCAATAGTAACATTCTACAGCCCAAAAGAGACCTAACTCTTGCAGAAGGCTCCCCTGGCCCAGCTGACCAAAGAGAACCTGAGTGGAGGCTACAAGGTGCCCTGAGGGCTAACCACAGGCTTCTGAGTGGCAGGACCTGCTCAGGTGAGGAAAACCAAGTGAAAGCACAGTTCTCTAGAGCCAGAAGAGGGAGACTTTTAAAGCTTGCTCCCCTAGCCCTCTCTGCATCTAAAAAGGGCTCCTCTTTTGCACCCAGGCTAGAACACAAGATCCCCTTTCCTAAGAGGTTCCTTTTCACAGCTGAAAGTTTAAAAAGATAATCTCCAGGGACAGATGGAAAAATTGTGTTCTCATTGGCATGAAAAGACCCAAGATGTCATTTAAAATATTAATATTTTACAGCTATTAGAAAACAAACATCCTTCTCTAGCCTACATACCTCTAACTGATCAGCTAACTTCTCATGTTTTGATATGGGAATTAAATAATTAAATACAGAATTGGGAAATGCCCTAAGGGTAAGAAGGAAAAGAAGGGAGGAGCCAATACTCAGGCAAGACAAATGTCCCCAAGGAAACAGCCAACTGCGATTAAGAGTTTCTTTCTGGCAGCCTTGTCCAAGGCCTCTCAGTCTCACATACCTCCTGCTTCTGCCTTCACTGTTCCCCTGATGTAATTTGCACCAAACACAGGCTGCTTGATCTCATAGTCCTTCATTAGGTAAAACGGCATCATGAATGACTGCATGGAGTCCTTTCCCTTGGACAGAAAAATAACCTGTGGGAACAGACAATGAATAGCATCAGTACAGATGACCCAAGGCTGTTTTACTAGGATTTCCTAAATTTCCGAGGATTTTTTCTGTTGTCGGCAGTTGTACTCCCAATTTCAAAGGGGCCTCCATCAGCCTGCTCCATCATACCAGAGTGACCCTCTGGGGGTGACTCTGTGTGTGTGTGTGTGTGTGTGTACACACAGGATAAAGAATTCTTATTTGAGGAGTCTACATTCACAAAAACTTCTGAAATACTTGCTATGAGGCAGACACTGTACTAAGCAATAAGGACTCAAAACTAGAAATGCAACAGTCTGTTTTCCAGGAGCTTATATTTTGTGGCAGAATACCAAAGTATACACAAAATATATACACATGATCATATAAACAAGTAAGCAAAATACATGTGAAGAAATTAATTATGTGAAATGTGCAAGGCAATACACGTCCTGTAGGATGTGGCACTTGAGCTTTGAGGAAATTGAGGGCGTCTAGGAGTGGATGGGAACTGAGAGGGAAGGGCATGCCAGGTCTTGGGGACAGCCTCTGTTATGTGAAGAACAGAAATAAGACAGTTTGGCCCAAACCAAGCATGGAAAGGGAAATAATATGTAATAAAGACAGTGAGGCTGGATTCAGGCTGTGTCAAAGAGTGAAGTTTGCATTTGATCATAAAGGCAAAAGATCTATTCTTGTGCAGGGGAGTGACATGGTCAGACCTATACTTCAGGAATGTAAATTTCGAAGCACTTTTGGACCATGGATTAAAGTGTGAAACTTCAGGCAAGAAGGCCAATTATATAAGAAGCAACAAAGCAACATATATCCTGAGAAAGGGCCTATGGAAAACATCCTTACTAGACTAGATATAAATACAAGACAATATGAATCAGAGACTTTTGAAAAGTATAAACTAATATACGTTTCTAGGTTACGATGATGCCATGACACCTAAGTGTTTGGAGAATAGGATAAGGAGAAAAGCTTCGTGGAAAAGTTGAAGTAAACCTTGCATGTTATAGATATGGGGAAGAACATGGGCTGCTTAAGGGCCAAGGTGAACTTCCTAACCTCCTGAAAGTGAAGCAAACCACTCCAACCTCTCAACTGCCTTCCTGCCATAATGTTCTGGGGCAATCAAGCAAATCACCTGGGAGGTCCAGAGTTTTAGAAATATGTCTAAAATCCCTCTGTCTTGGTTTGCCTATTTGTTTGGATGAAATTCTAGATGGTGACTTTGACCTATCAGTACAGGGCCAGTGTATATGAAATCTTCTCTCCTCTCCTACTCCGTTAAGCCATGACAATTAAGAATAACAACACAAATATGCCCTCTTCAGCAACTAAAGGGAAGGAGTCTTTTCCAGGGAAAGCCTTTTGTTTCCTCCGGGGCTAATGAAGCCCCAGTTTATGAAGGCTTTGGGAAGCAAGCAAGCCCCATTTTTGCAGTCTGGTATTTCTTACCCTACGAGGCGCTGCTGGCCTATTTTCCTGGCTGGGGCATTTGTTGCTGTGTCACCATATTCATCATGTGGCATATTTTGCAGAAGCTTCAGGCTAACAGTTGCTTTTGCTGAAATCAAAATGAAAAATACTCAGCCTACTCTAGGTCTATGTCTATCCAGCAGCACCAGTCACCTGTACACAAATGGAAGATGGCAGTGTTGGAGTTTGTAGAACCTTACTCAGCAGCTGTTAGTTCAGCTACCTGGAGCCACTGTCGACTCCCAGGGTCCCGGAAGGAGCTTGTGACAAAGAAACACCATGGGAGACGGGAAAATAAAAGTCATTAATGCTTCAGGGACCTGTGTCAGTGTTGCTGGAAACCTGAGTCACTCTCCTAAAATGTCAGGCCTCAAAATGACAGGTAACTTACTCTGTAAGGAGTCAAATAGAGGCTGCCTTTCTTGGTTCCTTTGAAGGCATCTGTCATGTGATCCATGTCACTGAAGGAGAGCTCCACATGATCATAGGTCATTAGAATGCTATAATGGGAAGGGAGAAAAAAAGGTTATGATAAGGGAGATTAGAGATATGGCTTGAAGTCTGGATAAAAAGCTGTGCAATTCCTACAATTTCTCATATTCCTCTTCTCCCTCTGTATCCACTCCCCCTCCCCCCACCCCTCAACAAGTGGTCTGCAGAATCCCAAACACACTGCAACCAGCTCCATCTGGAGTAAGTGCCAGATGAGGAAGGGAAATTCCAGTTTGCAAGGTTAAAGCTGATGTCACCACAGAAAACTCTTTCACTCTCATCTTCAAAGGCAGGCTGGATGGCAACTTATTGTGTTTATTATAACACTCATGTTAAGAATAAGGATTGGACTAGATCAGGGGTGGGGAACCTTCAGCCTCAAGGCCACAAGTGGCCTTCTAGGGCCTTGGGTGAGGCCTTTTGACTGAATCCAAATTTTACCGAACAAATCCTCTTATTAAGGGAATTTGTATTTCAAAGTATGCATTCAGTTCCCCACTCTCAGACTAGACCATCCATGAAATCTTTGCCAACTCTGTAATTCTATGAAATACCTAGTTGCAGGTATGACCACTTAAAGAAAATGAAAACGGGAAATTATGAAATGATGATTGAAGGACTCACTAAAGATTCCTTTAAATAATAAAAGTACAAAGGAGGTTCAAATTTTAACTTCAGTTTATAAACCAATTTCCTGGAATGAAACTAAAGAATTTATGTAAAACAAGGCACATCCTTATTTAACAGTCACAGAGCATTTAGAAGTGTGGGAGGCAAAGCTAGAGATAGTCCTTGTCCCAGAAACTCCCACTGAGAAAGAATGAAAAATAGTCACAAGAGATGATACTGTATGACAGCAACAGTGTTTCCTTGTTCCAAGAGCCTGGACACAAAAAGGTCACAAACCAATGGGTATCATGGGATATCTCTGATTACAAGAGAAAAATCAAATAACATTCACAGGGGCTGGGTCTGTCTTCCCCTACTCCAACCAACTGATCGCTGAATATGCATTTATTAAGCACTTACTATGTGCCAGGGACAGTGCTAGACGCTGGATATATACAGACAAAAAAAAAACAGAAAAAAAAGTTCCTGTCCTCAAGGTATTTATATGTACATATCAATTTACAAAATAATTGAGATAATTTAAATACTAACAGATGGAGGAAGGGGCAATCAGGAAAGGTTTTGTGCAGAAGATTGAATTTCTGTTGAATTTTGAGGGAAACAAATGATTCTAAGAGAAATTGGGGGGGAGGACAACTGTGTAAGACCATGCAGGCAGGAGTGTCCTGGATGAAAATCATCAAGACCTACGCTGAAAACCTTTCCACTTGAGAGGATGGCTGGAACAGAACATGAAACAAATGCAGGTGGAGAAAATAGGTTAATTACTAGAAACAGGATAAGCCTGTTAGATACTGTGTAGGGAAGAAGGTGAAGAGGTCATATTTTTCAGCTCTAAGCTCACACTTCAGCAAATCTGCTTCCCAAGAGTTCTGGTCCCTAAGTATTTCTTTCCTCCTAACTGGCACAGTGGTCCTTTTGACTTTGTGAGGACCCTGAGGCTACAGAAAGGCAGGTAGCATGACACACTTGAGGGGTAGCATCCTTTCCTATGTTCAAGTAGGCAAAGGGGAGGGGGAGAAACAGTGCTGAACACAGAACCTGGGGAGCGCCCCTATCTTTTATTGCAATATCATTTATTGCATGACCACCCTAGCCTCCTCCAAATAGGAGGGAGCATTCGCTGAATTTAATGAGCATCCATCTACATGACGAACGCAGTGGGTAAAGTCTTAGCTACCTCTCCCTAGCAGTGTAAAAAGTTGTGGGTTTTAGAGGAGAAACGTGGGGGTTTGTGTTTTGTTTTTTAATAGGATGGTGGGTAGGAATCCAGGAGTCTCTCAGTCTTTCTCTCTCTCTCGTCAATTTCCTCTTCCTGGGCTTCATAATCCTCCCTCTGAAAAATGAGGGAGTTGGACCAGACGACCCCCAACATTGCTCTCAGCTCAAACGTCATTCTCCCTCGGCTACATCAACAACCAGGCTTTGGGGGTGTGAAGGGGGAGGTTGGCTCAGCTGGGCCTGCAGGGGGGGGGTGTTAAAGGGGATTTTAGCACCAAATGGGAAATGTCCAACCCTAAGATTCTCGGACATCTGTGAGGCTACAAGACCCAGCCCAACTTTCTACCAAATCTCCTTCGGGGATACCCTCCCCCCCAATCTGATGCTGTCCTTGGTCCCTAATCCCTCCCCAACTACCCCCACCCAGGAAGCTCTCTCAGTTCCTCCCCCTCCCCCGAGCTGCTGCTGTCCTAGGTCCCTCTTGCAGCTTCCTGACGAGTATGTGTTGGGGGGGGTCTAAGATTTCCCGCCCCCCCTCTTCCCCCTTCCCTGGCCGTTACTCTCCCCGCCCCTCAAGGATGTTCGTTCTCCTTTCTCCCCAGTTCCCACCTCCCTCGACGACTCGCCCCGACCCCAACCTTCCCCCCTCCCCGTGGCGCCGCTCACTTCTCCGTGTTGTTGACAATCACTCCGCTCTCCGAGTGGTTCCTGTTAAGCGCCATGGCCGGACCGCACAGACGCCCAGCAACCGAGCCTCTGAGACTAGTGCGCCTGCGCTCTGTGCCCAGCCTCGCGTGTCGTCGTTCGGAATTAAGGTCCAGCCAATCACGGGGTGTCTATGTGGGGGGGTGGGGAGAGGGGGGGAACAACCACCTGACCCTCGAGTCACGTGAACGCGCTCGCCTCTCGTTTCTCTCCCCCTCCCCCCCTTTCCAGCCTTCTGTCGCTTTCCTCCACCCCCAACACTTGCTCTGCTTGTAGGGGCTGCATCACAAACAAGTCAGAAGACTACAATTCCCGGCGTGCGATGCTCTGGCCTCGCCCTTGACTTAAGGAGCTGATGAACTTCCGGAGCGCCAAAATGGTGTGAGGCCTAGAATTCTTGGCATAGAAGGATGCGTGGAAGGAACTGGGAATTTTCAGTTCCAGAAAAAGAAAACTAGGGAAGAAACGGCCATCCCCGTGCCCCAAAATATCAAGTGGTTCCTTGTTTCTTGTAGGGCAGGGGTTCTTTTTTTTTTTAATTGTTTTTTACATCACCAGAATTTCAACCATTGGTTCTCCCCTTCCTTCCTCCCAGGGACCCATGTAATAAATACTGTTTTTTAAAGAAAAGAAGATGAGACCTCACCCCCCACCCCAACACACACACAAAGAAACAAGCAAAATCAATACATCGAAAAAGTCAGAAAGTATACGTAAGTATAAGTAATGCACCACACTCGGGGACATTGCATCCTTGCAAAGGAATGGAGTAGGAGATGTAGGATGACTTCTCTTAACTTTTTGTGTATGACGTGGACCCTTTTGGCACTGATGAAGCCCTTGGACTCCTCAGAAGAGTGATTTTAAATGCATAAAATGAAATACATAGGATTACAAAGAAAACCAATTGTGTTGAAATGCAGTTATCAAAATATTTTTTAAATCAAGTTTGCTCACCCCAGATTAAGAATCCCTGTTCTAGCATAAAAAAAAAAGCTCATTCAAGCTTTGTGGTTAAATCATGTGGCAATCATCCACTGATTTTATCTTTTCAGGAAGATTAAATATTCTCTTTGATGAAAGCTTTGGTCCAGCTAAACAGACCTCCTCTTATTTCTGTGCCTTAGCAGAGTAGGTGGGCTCGTGGTCCTGGAATAAGGAAGATCTGGGTTCATATCCTGCCTCTCTGGTCCTCAATTTCCTCATCTGCAATAGGAGGGTGTTCAGGTTTAGGGGTGCTGGGACACCCAATCTTCCAATTCTTTGTTACCCTTAATTGAGCCTAGAGGGCTACTGTCTTACCTGTGGATGGCCCTCAGCCACTTCCCATCCTTGATCCTATCTAGATCCCATTCCACCTCTCATCACTCCCATCAAGATCCTCCCTAGATCCCTCCTCTAGTCATTCCAGCTTACTGTCCACTTCCATCGAGATACCCCTTCTCCCACACCCCTCCTCCAGTCACCCCAAACTGCCTGGCCACTCCTAGATCCCTCCCACAGTCTTCCTGGCTGCCATTTAGGGACTGAGACTTCCTCATGTCTGCTAGTCTGTACAAGCATCACAAATGTTTAGATTCCTTAAGAGTCTGGCCCATACGGCTGATCTTTAATAAACCATATCTTTGGCTGAAAAAAGGTTTGGGTCAAATTCATTCAGGTAGGACCCGAATGTCATGATTTGGGGGTCCCAGCACCCCTAAGCCTCCAAACTTCAACAGTCATAGGAAAATAATTCTCTAAGGGTGTGTTTAGTGACTGTTGTTCTGTTTGATGAAGCAAACAGTAAAATGAACCTTATCTTGAACTCTTGTAACTATGTTTTATCATACTAAGAAATGTTCCTTGTTCAAGATTCCTATAAATTGTAACTTCAAAATGACTTCTTGTAGAGAGCTATCCAAGGGCATGAGGGAACTCTGTCAGTGTGAACATTTCTTTCTCTAAGCAGAAAAAAAATGCTTAGAACAACTTTAAATTAATAAAAAACTGTTTCTGGAAGATGTGCCAATGATGCAGAGCACAATACAGAATTTTCTGTCAGAGAGCTCATATATCCTCTTTTCTGGTTCAGGATGTTGTCTATGGAGGACCAAAACTCTCTCAGAGAAAGTGACTTCCCAATATAAGAATTCCCCCAAGATGAAGTCCATTGTGAGGTCCCTATCTCTCACTGAAGGCACATACCTCTTCAATCATGGAAGTAATCTTCAGTTGAACCTCCCCACTGAGTTGAAACTTCCTGTTTCATTCCCTCAGATTTAATCCCTCCATTATACTGTCTTGATATACTTGTCTATACTATACTCCTATAGCCCCACTTCTTGTTGAGAAGTGGCAGTATGGTATAGGGGCAGTTAGGTGACCCAGTGGATATAGTACAAGGTCTGGAGTTAGGAAGACTCCTCTGACCTCAGACATTTACTAGCTGTGTGACCTTGGGCAAGTCATTTCACCCCGTTTGCCTCAGTTTCCTCATCTGTAAAATGAGCTGGAAAAGGATATGGCAAACTGCTCCAGTATCTTGGCTAAGAAAACCCCAGATGGGGTCATGAAGAGTCAGAGAATACTGAACAACACCGAAAGGAATAATCCTCTCTTAATTTTTAAAATCATTGACTTGGTAGGATTATATTACTTGTTCTCTACCGCCCACTTTAGTCCACAGTGATTGAGTTCTGCTCTTCTGCCTTCACTTCTGTTTCTTTCATCTTTGTCCCATTTTGTGTTTTTAAAACTGATTGATTCCTTTTTGTTCTTTCTTTTTTAAGCCCCAAACATAGGGTAAATTATGTGATAAATGATTTTATTACTTATTATTTCCTTGGCAAGTGTACTTATTTCCTTTTTTCGTGTTAATATTTTTTGGAGTGTTTACAAGCTAAACATTCTGGTCGTGTCTGATTTTATTTTTAGTTTTGTTTTTGCTAAGCAATGTGGTTAAGTGACTTGCTCAGGGTCACACAGCTAGTAAGTGTCACATAATTGAGGCAGGATTTGAACTCAGGTCCTCCTGATCCAGGGCTGGTGCTCTATCCACTGTGACACCTAGCTGCCCCTCTGATTTTATTCTTGCTGAAATGCTTCAAATACTTCTATTTTTCTTGAAAATTGATTTTTTTTTAGTCACAATTTGACTCAGGTATGCAGGGTATGTCATTTTGTGATGCAGCTTGAGCTGCTTTGCTTTTTGGAATATACTATTGTCTGACTGTGACCCTATTTGTGGTTTTCTTGGCAAAGATCCTGGAGTGGTTTGCCATTTCCTTCTCTAGCTCATTTTACAGATGAGAAAACTGAGGCAAACAGGGTGAAGTGACTTGCCCAGGGTCACACAGCTAGTACGAGTCTGAGGTCTTCCTGACACCGGGCCTAATACTATCTCTACTTCACCACCTAGCTGCCCCTGGGATTTCTCATAGTTGCCTAATAATCTTGTATTGATGGAATTTCTAGACCATTATATTGAAAAATCTTGTTCCTGACTCCTAGCATAATTTGTTGCTTGTCATTGGAATTGTTAAAAATATTTAAAAGTATCAGCTGTGTTCTTTGGTGTTGGAGGTGTTTTTCTCCCCTTAGTTTTTGTTTGTTTGCTTGAGGCAGTCAGGGTTAAGTGACTTGCCTGGGATCACACAGCTAGTAAGTGTCTGAGGCCAGATTTAAATTCAGGTCTTCTGGATTTCAGGGCCTAGCTGCCTCCTTCTCTGCTTTGGAATCCATGTATGGTTTCTTTCAATTGGTGCTTTGTTTTCTACGTTCAAAATTTCTGGGCAGTCTTTTTGTATCATTTCCTGCATTGTGGTGTTCAGTTTTGTTTTGTTTTTCATGTGTCACATTTTTCTAGGAGCAGTACGATCCTTAAGTTATCTCTGTGCAACCCGATCTTTAAGGTCAATTGGTTTAGCTTGTATAGAGTTCATATGTGTTCTTTTATGATTTGCTTTTCTTCTAGATTTTCCTCCATTCTGTTATTTTTGTATTCCAAAATTTGTTCATCTCATTTCTTTAGAGGCACTTTCCATTGTGGATTCATTTTTTGCTAATTTTCAAATTAAGTTTTAAAATTCTCTATTGATCTCTGTGTTCTGACATATTTATTCTCAGTTCCTTCTTCTGTAGTTTTTATTTCTTTTTTATACTGTTTCAGCATTTTGTTGTTGTTGTTGCTAAACCGCACTTTCTTGGGAGTCCACAAGATTCTGCATTCCATCAGTCACTGGTTCCCTTTTCTTTGTCTTGTGATCTTTGTTGAGAGTTTGTGTTCTCTTTGACCATTTACTACTCATCCTTCCTTCTGGTTTAAATATCAGTCAATTTATCTGCTTGTATTGTGGGCTTTTATTAAGAGTTTTTCTCTTTGAACCTTTGGTCCTTTAGCCTTTTTTCGTATTCTCCCATCATTTACTTTCTGGCTCCTCCCCCTTCGTGGTTGAATTGTTATTTGTTGTTTATTCTTCTTTCTTGAAGAAGACCAAGGACGTCAGGAGGGTGATGTCTTGACTTGGAAGTGGATTGGATTTAAGTGAGGCAGAGCTGTGCAGAGTCATCAGCCTCACTCTGTCCCCCAGAGTCATCAGAGTCCAGTGGTAAGACCTAGGTCAAGCTGGTAAATAAAGCCTCAAGACTGGACCACAAAGTTATCTCAAACTACATGAGCTGGGTTCACCATCCTGTCCTTTCTCCAGTACCTTCTGGGGGGACAGAAATGAAACCTCGATGTTTCAGTACCATTTTGCTCAAGCCCATTGCAGTGGTACATGTCGACCCTTGCCCCAATTCCTCCCTTAGAGCTCCCCTTTTCTTCTCACAGTTTGGCAGAACTGCCATTTTTTGCAGTTTGAGGTGGGCACAGAGGGTTTTTAGTCAGTCTTTATAGACTTGGAAGACCCTAACTTATGGACGGGCCACAGTAAGATGGCAGCACATTTGCAGCCCCCTCTACCACCACTTCCTCTTGTGGTGGAGAAGAGTGAGTGTCTGGTTCTCATTGTACAGCAGGAGCCAGATGGGAGCTCGATATGCTAGCATAATGTCGGCATCAGGGGTGGGGGTCCCAGAGCTGAGCCTGCCCTTCTAGGAACGTAGAACCTCATGGGGATGGGTTGTTGAGTGAAAGCTATAAGGATTTTACTTTGCTGGAGTTCTTGTTTCTCTGTCCAGTGATAATTGTTTTATATCTGGTGCATGATTCCTTTTTAAATTTTTTTCGAGGGTTAGAAAGTTAAAGAGGTTTGGGAATAGTAATTAATTTTGCTATCTTGCTGGTCACATGACCAAGAAGGTTGGCCATATCATTTTAATAGCAGATTCCAAAAGTGTAGTAATGTGAATATAGTTAATGTTCTGAAGTGACCACCCATCTTCATCCTAACTGATCAGTTTGGTCTCCAGGGATCGGTTACTAGGTCCTCTAAGGGCTCTTGAATTACTCCCTGAGGAGTGGTATCGAAAGTTATACTGACTCAGTGACCCATGATTCCCAGTCCTGCTTGTCAGTCACTGTTGGGGGAGCCTCTGTTGGGGGGAGTCATCACCCAGTCTACAGTATTTGTATTACCTGCTATCTATCTCATACTAGGTCACCCCTAACTATTAGCCTGCACATACTGGCAATTGGGGAGTAGCTGAGATGTACTGTTCCATCCCCTTTTGCTGACATGGACCTATCCAAATTGTCTTTATCTCATTATGAAAATTATCAATAAAAGCT